CCCCCCCCTTCTTTCCCTTCCAACCCTCTCTAACACAACTATGATACGGTATAGATGTCCTACGACTCCACATTCACCCCCCAAGGCAAAGCCATCGCCGACCTCCCCTGGCGGGAACAAGTGCGTCGCGGCTTCAAAGACATGGGCCAGCGGTCCTGGTCCAGCGCCAAGAACTTCGGTATCGTGGGTGCGTTGTACTCGGGCACAGAATGCTGCATTGAGGGACTGCGCGCCAAGAACGATCTCACGAATAGTGTTGCGGCGGGTTGCATTACGGGTGGCATTTTGGGTGCGAAGGCTGGGCCGCAGGCTGCTGCCGCCGGGTGTGCGGGTTTCGCGGCGTTTAGTGCCGCGATTGATGCGTATATGAGGATGCCGGAGAAGGATGATTAGGTTGTTGTGTTGTGGTGGTGGTTGATTTGGGGCGAGGGTTCATGGATGGCGTTTTGTTTGGGTTGGGTATGCGCGTGCATTGTTTATGGCGTTGGGTTTGCTTTAGTTTTTCTAATAGAGATTTTGGGGGGGTGGTTGGGTTTATCTCGACTCAGTTGTATATTATTGTATAGATAGAGTGTGATGAGGTGAAAATAAGCCTTGTGGTGGGGACTCGGAGAATTGTTTAGATTCGTTGCTAATATCTAAAGATCCTCAATCTAGATGCTCCAAATATGTCAGGGAGAGAAACAATATATTTAAAGTTAAACAATATAAATACAGTCCGGCACTAATTATGGGGATTCATTGCCCATAAGGCCCAGACCCAGCCATTATCTGCGGTTCAATAGCTAATACAAGTATCTGGTTATTCTAATTCGCGAACCAACTTACGACATGCTACAGACACAGTTAACTAGTCCTGCATAGGAAGGCAGAATCAATTCAGCAGTGATACACCGGAGAGACGTGGTCAGGAGGCTGCGCCAGTTTCCAAGAATGCAAGCTAAGTTTGCGATAGACAGGTTTCATGCAAAGCAACAGGCTCCGCTATAAATAACGATCAATTTCCCGCAATACTGCTGCTGTGCCAATTGAGGGAAATTTACATGATCAGCATGACTCTACAGGACCAGACTCAGTATGAAGCAATCATCTTTGGTTTCGGGGTGCTGTTTATATGGGATCCGCCAAAGGATGCAGTAATATCTCCCGGTCTTCTGAAGAGTATACTCTCCTCGCCCCTCTGGCATGACTATGAGCAAGGGAAATTGGCCGAAGATGATTGCTACGACTTGCTGGCCACACAATTCCATATGCAGACATCAGATATTGCGTGCACTTTCAGCCAGGGTCGGCAAAGCCTTGTCATCAATCCCGCAGTCATGAGCCTTCTGTTGGAAATCAGGGCTGCCGTTCCCAATATCGCAGTGTACACCATGTCCAACATTCCCAAGCCACACTATACAGTTCTCCTGCGTACTCATCCCGAGATGTCTATCTTTGATCAAATTCTCCCATCTGGATTGCACGGAGCACGGAAACCGCAACTGCAATTCGATCAGAACGTCCTCGGTGAGATCGGAATGTCAGCAGAGCAAATCATCTATATCGACGATCAGCTGGAGAATGTCACCTCTGCACAGTCGATCGGTATGCATGGTATACTCTACACGCAACCGTCACTTCTCAGCCAACATGTCAAAAGCTTGATGCTCGACCCGGTACAGCGAGGAATGGATTATCTCCGTCGTCATGCAAAAAAGCTACATAGCACCACGGACACCGGCCAACCCATCTGGGAGAATTTCTCGCAGCTTCTGATTCTCGAGGCCACCGGAGATGAGTATGTCTTGTTCAGACAGACCTCCAACTGCTACTGATACCTACGTTCCAGAACATTGGTATCCCTCGAACATCACGAATCAACCTGGAACTTCTTTCAAGGTAGATTCCCCCTCCCCCATCTCCACCCGCACTCCTCCATACATACTAACTCCACCAAACCACCAGGCACCCCATGCTTCACAACCTCCACCTTCCCCGACGACCTCGACACCACCTCCCTCGCCTGGCTTACCCTCCCGGCCCCAAAAACCATCATCGATCCCCTCCTCGACCGAATGACCACCCTCGTCAACTCAGACGGCATCTTCACAGTACCCTCCCCTTCTCCCCTCCCCATCCCCATTTAACCCCAAACCCCCAACTAAAACAAGTGTAAACAGACCTACTTCACCCCCTCCCGTCCCCGAACCGACCCCATCGTCTGCACCAACATCCTCCGCCTCTTCCACAAATACCACCGCGGAACCGATCCCGCCCTCCAACCCACCCTAACCTACATCCACAACACCCTAACCCATAGAACATACCTCCTCGGAACAAGATACTACACCTCCCCGGAAAGCTTCTTATACCCTCTTAGCCAACTCTGCCAACACCCCAATCCTACCCTTCAACCCATACGAGAAACGCTGATCGAGCGTCTACGAGAAAGAATAAATGTCAAAACAGATGCACTATCACTAGCGATGCGGATTCTAGCGTGTCTAGATATGGGATTTAGTCGAAATGAGGTAGCGAGGGAAGTAGAGGTGTTGGTGGGAATGCAATGCGAGGATGGATCTTGGCCGGGGGGGTGTTTTTGTCGGTATGGGGGGTCGCAAGTCGGGGTTTGGAATCGGGGGGTGAGTACGGGGGTTGTGGGTAGGGCTGTGCGGAGGTATCAGAGGTGGGGGGTGGATACTTAGTAAGTGTAGTTGATAACTAACTAGTGTAGACTAACTTATTTGTTTGTTTGTTTGTTTGGGATGGTTATATGGGTGGTATATATAGTAGAACGTGTTGTTTGGATGGAGTATACCTAGGTGTGATGCTTGGTATACTATTATCTATATGAAATTGTGCCGAATCTGGCTTCGTCTGCCTCGTTGTTGTCTTCATTGTCTTCATTGTCTTCTTGGAGGTAAATTGGCTAGCAAATCTTTTGATATGGTTTGTACTAGTGGCATTGTACAGGGGTACCTAGATCTTCAATGTGTCGTGTTGGGTGGGAGAGGTCGGGTTTGGAGTGAGATTGGGGGATTGATGAGGAGGGTCTTATGTTCCTTTCATGGTAGGGGCTCTTCTTTTGATTTCTCTTTTGGATAGTTTGATGTGGAGGTATATAGGTGGAATATAGAGTTTGGTATTCATGCATCGTTATCTATTCACAACCTCAAATATAATACATACGCGGCTAAGGCAGCACAATGTACCGCTCCAGGTGCTTCGGGATCGCCCCACGCAGACCCTTGGTCTCCAGCCACGACTTCGAGAACAACCGGTCCGCGTACCGGTACGCACCATCGCACAGAACCGTCACCACCGTGTGTCCCTTGCCCAGCTTCTTCGCCACTTCCTGCGCGGCCACCACATTCAGCGCCGAGCTGGCTCCCAGGTACAGTCCCTCCTCATCCAGGCAGCGGTACACCATCTCGATCGACTTCTCGTCGGGAATGTTCAGCGATCCGTCCAGCAGACCAATGTCCGGCTGCAGGTTGTCCGTCACCCGGCCCTGGCCAATGCCCTCCGTGATACTGCTGCCCGTGCGCTCAATCAAGTTGCCGCCGCTCTGGATGTAACTGTGCAGCACACTGCCCGGGGGGTCGGCGAGGAAGCTCTTGACTTTGCCGTCGCTGACGGTCTTCAGGTAGCGTGTGATGCCGGCCAGGGTGCCGCCGGTGCCGGTGGCGCAGGTGAAGGCGTCGATCTGTCCGTTGGTCTGCGCCCAGATCTCCGGACCGGTCGTCTCGATATGCGCCTGGCGGTTGGCGACGTTGTCGAATTGGTTGGTCCAGACGGCGTTGTCCAGCGACTCGGCGTGTCGGCGCGCCTGGTGGTTGTAGTTCTGCGGGTTGTCGAAAGCGACGGCGGGAACGGGGTAGACCTCCGCACCGAGCAGGCGCAAGAGGTCAATCTTGCCCTGCGACTGGGTGTTGGGCATGTAGATGACGAGCTTGTAACCCTTGGACCGGCAGACGTGGGCGAGACCAATTCCGGTGTTTCCTGCAGTTCCTTCGACGACGGTACCGCCGGGTTTCAGGAGGCCCTTCCGCTCCGCATCCTCAACGACGAACAGAGCAGCTCGGTCCTTGACGCTACCTCCGGGGTTTTGGAATTCGGCCTTTCCGAGAATGTTGCAGCCGGTTTCGTCAGAGAGCTTCTTCAGGCGGATAAGGGGGGTGTTGCCGATTGCTGTCCGAGATTAGGATGCGATGGCGGGCGAATGTGGCGGAGAGCATGCATACCTTCCGTGAGGCCATTGACGAAGCCCTGTGCTTTGGACACTCGGACATTGTAGGCAGAAGACGCCTCCGCTGCGCGAAGGGCAGTCGTGCCAAACCGCCGGATACTCTGACGAAACATGCTGTCAATGATCGCTAATTCACAACCCACGCCTGGATAATGGGAGAGCAACATCCGCGGTCCCCAGATCTCAGATGGCCGATGGTCGGCGTTAGTCATCTACATCACGTGGTCGATGGCGTGATTGCTCATGTTGCCCATTGGGGTGAGGAGCTTGACATTGATTCGGCTTTATGGATAGCATGGCATGGTTGGTCTTGGAAATGCCACACCAGGACTCGGAGACTTCGACTGTCAAGCATAATGACATCACATCCTATCAGCTGCCTAGCCTGAGATCAGTTGGTTGGTCCTTGTACTCCGTAGTTGTACGAAATTAGCTAGCATCACGTGTAGCCCTAGCCCTTATCAGCTTTCCCGTTTGGGCTGTTTGTTTATCCAGCCCCGTGACACTCCGCAATGTTTGGATCGGACAGCAACAGTCTTTGTCTTCAGCCCCTCCAGACTCGACACACGCCAGAAACGCCTCCGACGGACGACGCGCTGATTTATCGATGCCACGGATTTAGGATGATTTATGACGATTTTTGACTGCACACCCCTTACTGAGCTCTGAGACGATACCCTACCCCACCATTGAGCCACCATGCCTGGCCGATCCGCCCGTTCGGCTTCCACCGCCACGCGCAAGACCTCCGCCCAGCCGTCGCGCGCTGGATCAGTGACGCCGTCTTTTACTATACCCGAGGAGCCTGCACTGCCCGAGGCTATTCCCAACTTGCGCCGCGATGTATGCTCCATCTTCGCCGATGCGCAGCGCTCTACAACCGGACACCGGAAGCTCGTCGTGCGACTACGGAAGCTCCAAGAGGCCTGCTGCGGTATTCCCCAGAAGAACTCCAAGAAGGATGGCAAGAATGCTCAAAAAGAACTGTTGCTCCCATCCGAAGAGTCTCTGCCCGAGAAGGAGTTCAATGTAGAGGTCAGCCGCTGCGCCCTCCGCATTCTCCCTATCAAGAAGTCGGAGCCTGTCGGCGACCGCATCCTGCGCTTCCTGGGCGCGTTCCTGACGCAGGCGTCCGAGAAGGATGCGGAGCTTTTTGCTATGGATGAAGAAGAAGATGACGATATGGAAAACGCCCCCGAGACCCCAACTGCTCGTTTGACGACCAGCTTGATCAACCTGGTTGTTCCCATGTTGGCCACCAAAGACAAGACGGTCCGCTTCCGCGCCACCCAGATCATCGCCCACATTGTCAACTCGCTCGAAACGATAGACGACGACCAATATCGCGCGATCCGCGGAGGCCTCCTGAAGCGCATCCGAGACAAGGAGCCCGCAGTCAGAGTGCAGGCTGTCATGGGGTTGGGCCGTCTTGCGGGCAACGAGGAAGACGACGACAACGATGAGAGCAAGGCTCTACTCGAGCGACTCATCGACATCATGCAGAATGATACGAGTGCGGACGTGCGAAAGACGCTACTAATCAACCTGCCGCTTGTACCCGGCACCCTGAAATACCTCCTTGAACGAGCCCGTGATCTTGACGCAGGCACTCGACGGGCCTTGTATTCGCGTCTTCTTCCTAGCCTCGGTGACTTCCGCCATCTGTCGCTGTCTATGAGAGAGAAACTGCTTCGATGGGGTCTCCGCGATCGAGACGAGAGCGTGAGAAAGGCCACTGGTAAGCTGTTTTTCGACCGCTGGGTGGAAGACTGCGCGGGCACCAATAACGATCCCGAAGCCGGCCCGACTGGTCAACGCTCTCCACCCAACATGTTAGCGCTGCTAGAGCTGCTAGAGAGAATCGACGTGGTCAACTCCGGTGTGGAGTCTGGAATTGCGCACGAAGCCATGCGCAGCTTCTGGGAAGGCCGTCCTGACTATCGAGAGGCGGTTGTCTTCGACGAGCCTTTCTGGGAGAATCTTACAGCCGAATCTGCTTTCCTGATCCGCTCCTTCAGCGACTTTTGCCGCGTCGAGCATGAAGGGAAGTACGACAAGCTTGCGGACGAGAAGATACCCGAAGTCACGGCGCTTGCATTCTACTTACACAAGTACATGACCGACCTGTTGCAACGGAAGAAGGCCGCAAAAGACGCCGGTGGTGCCAACGATGATGAGACTGTGGAGCAGGAATTCGTGGTGGAACAACTGCTACATATCTCCATGACGCTGGACTACAGTGACGAAGTTGGACGACGCAAGATGTTCTCCCTACTCCGCGAGTCGCTGGCCGTTCCCGAACTCCCCCAGGAATGCACCAGGCTCGCGGTCGAGACCCTGCGATGTGTTTGCGGGCCGAACGCCGCAGCGGAGAACGAGTTCTGCAGTGTCGTGCTGGAAGCCATCGCTGAAGTCCACGACACCATTGTTACCGAAGACAGCTTTGTGTCTGCCCGGTCTGAAATCAGTGACGCTAGCTCTACTCGCCACCGATCCGAAACTCCTCAAACCGAGGACGAGAAGCCTTTCAACAAAGAGGAGGCGAAAGCGAAGGTTCTCAAAGAGATCGTCATCAATATGAAGTGCCTGTACATTGCCCAGTGCATGCTGCAGAATGTGGAGGGCAACCTGCAGGCCAACATGAACTTGGTGACCATGCTGAATAATCTTGTCGTGCCTGCTGTTCGCAGTCATGAAGCTCCCATCCGTGAGCGGGGTCTCGAGTGCCTGGGGCTCTGCTGTCTGTTAGACAAGGTAAGAACCCCTACCAAATACTACTACGTCTTACTAATGAGCTTTCCTAGAATTTGGCCGAGGAAAACATGACCCTTTTCATCCACTGCTACAGCAAGGGCCACGAAGCCCTGCAGGTGACTGCCATCCATATCTTGTGTGATATGCTGACCACGCACCCTACCTTGCTGTTACCTGTGACTCAATCAGATGGCGAGACGGTGGCCCCGCCAGTCTTCCAGAAGCCACTGCTCAAGGTCTTTGCACGATCACTCAAGTCCAGCTCGCCCAACAGCGTACAGACGGCTGCTGCCACGGCCCTCTCCAAGCTGCTGCTCACCAACACATTCACGCCATCGGGATCGAATATTCCCCAGGCCATCCAGGAATATAACCAGTCGGCCATTGAGACCCTCCTACAGTCACTCGTCCTCTCCTTCTTCCATCCTCGTACTCGGGACAACCCCGCGCTGCGACAGGCTTTGGCCTACTTCTTCCCTGTGTATTGCCATTCACGACTGGACAATACGCAACACATGCGCAAGGTCGCGGTTCCCGTGGTGCGGGCAACCCTGACTGCCGCTGAAGAGTACTACTCGCTGGAAGCCGAGGAGGACAGCGACGGCGACATTGATGAGAGTGTCGGCCAGAGAGAATTGAAGGCATTGATGGCCGGCGTCCTGGGGATGCTGGCTGAGTGGACTGACGAGCGGCGGGTGGTTGGGCTCGGCGGAGAACGGGTTCTGGCGGGTGGACCTGCTAGCTCCAATGCTTGCGGGTTCGTGCACCTGGCCCTGGTCAAGGACATCCTGGAGCGTGTTCTCGGAATCAGTGCCGGCACCAACCGCTGCTCCAAGGAAGAGAAGAAGCTACTCTTCTCGCTCCTGAGCAAGCTCTACATCGCTCCACCCACGGTGCCCTCGCGATCGGGATCTCGTAATCCGGAGGGCGATGATCCATTCCGCTCCAGTGTTCGAAGCACACAGGGTGAAATCACGCCAGAGAATACGGAACTGGCCAAGGAGGTGAAGGAGCTACTAGACGAGACGATCGAAGAAGGCCTTGCTGCCGAGGCCGCTGGGCGAAACGCTCTGGTCAAGGTCAAGAACTCGGTCCTCAAGCTCTTGGCGGCCGCTCATGGCGGGCGCCCGGCCAGCGCGAGGACCCGGGAGGGCATGGACGAAGGCGATAGCGATGTCATGAGCGTACGGTCGATGAGCGTCCGGTCAGGCAGTGTGCGGCCGTCCATTGAGCCCGGCTTCATGCGCCGGGGCTTCTCACCGGAGCCGAGTATCATTGAGGAGGAAGATGAGAACGAAGATAGTCGGACAACGATTGTCAAGTCGGAAGCTCATGATGACGAGTAATCGGTGGTCTTGGTTTCGGTTGGCGTTCGCGGATGGCTTGGTCTTGGTGCGCACTGGTTGGCTAGCAATGGGAGACCGTGTAATTAGGTGTTTGGGTACGCGTGTACATGATGTTCTATCTTCTAATGGTCAATTGTCCATGATTCTTACGGGGAGCATTGGGTGTGCGGAGATGTGCCGGGACGGTCCTGTTGGGGGATCGTGTGATCTGGAACGTGGACGAGGCCGTAGCTTGCCGGCGCGCTAGTGGCAGTTTAGACTGGGATTCCTAAGGCGGGAAGCTGATGAGCAGTGTCATGGCCTGATCTGGATGGCGCGTGGTGATAAGCGTGTCCGCCCACGGGATTTGGAAAATGTCGCACTCTGGGAGGCTGGCCGTCAGCAATCAACATCCAGCAGCCCTCCATGGTGATATCCAATCCGTCAGGTGCTGCTGGCTCGATTCGGACTAGTCCCCTGGTCCTAGCAGACTGGCCATCACAGTTCATCACATTTCCTGTCAACCTTTGATTGCAAAGCAACAACAAACCAACTCAATGGAGGGACGGACCCAAGATTACCGCCGTGGTAATACCCAGGCAGGCCCAATCAGCATGCAGGCCGGGGGCACTGGCTCCAATGGGCGGGCGGTCCTTCGGATGCGAGACCGGCGGATAGTGGAGCCCTCCACGCCCTCCCTGTCCACCATTGGTCAGCACCGCAGGAACCTCCACGGCGTCGCGTTTTTTTTTTCTGTCCTGTGCTGATGGGTGTTGCTCAAGTCCCGATCGAATAATAATCAATGGCTCTGGCACTCTTGAGATGAGGTCGGACTGCCGGGCACATGGCCAGTCAGGCTATTGCCACGGGTGCCCATGTCATCATAACTCGCTTCCTGGGGAAAATATATCCAGGGTTTAAGGTTAATGGGAATGGATCAGCTTGGAGTCGAGCTCCTGGCGGTGCGTGCCGGGTCGGAATTACCGTCAGACAGAAGTACGGTTTCACTCCGGACATTTCCCTCTGCCTTAGTCTGTCACGCCTGTCAGGTATTATTGTTGAGAGGGTCAGATTGAGAGAATTAGTTGTGTCCAAGCCCGATTCAATGGGCTGGGCGTGTCCATTGGCTCTGGGGTTCGTGGTGATCGGGATGGTTCGTGGATTGACCGGTGGTGATGGCTGGATAGTAGATGGAAGAATAGACGGGGTTCACGAGTTGTATGTCGATGAGGTGCCCGGATCGGTCGTAGTTCTCTGCCTCTTTGTCTCTCGTTGATCCTCCATGTTGCTGGTGCCGCTGATGGCATGGATGCTGCTGATGGTGAATCGATCGGTTCAGACGGTACCGACCTGTCATACAATACGGCGTATCCAGGCGGAACCCGGCGACGGTCTGGGATGTATCGACCAGCACGACCCTCAGGAGCCATTCAGACAGACCAGGAGCAGGGAGCCTGGAAACCAAGGCGGATGGAGTTGGGGAGGGTGAACAAGGAATTGAGCGTGATGAGAAGGAATCCCAGCAGCACCAGTCGGTGGTGAACCAGAGGCGCCGGGGATTTGGGCCATGGCCTCGAGGCCGAAACTTTTCTTTTAATCTCGACGCTCCACCAGCGAACTCGTCCTGCTTCTTCCCATCCTGGCCTTGGGACTTTCTTTTTCCTTCTTCCCCTTCCCTCGTCCTTCCCTCCTTCTCCTCCCCCTCCTCCTCCCTCTTTTCCCCCCAGTGGTCTTTTTCCCCCCATTCACGACCCTCTCCTCTTCCCCCCCTCTCCCAGTCGTGAAGCCGTGTCGCCTGCTGTCCTTGCAGAGACACGTTTTTTCCTTTCTCCGACCCGTCCCTTTTCCTCCCTCCTCCCTCCTCCTCCACCCCCCTGCCGCTCCGTTGGCGTGAGAATCAGCCAGCGTCTAGACACCCTGAGCGATGGCCGTTTCAGCTCCCACTCCTAAGCTGGATCGTTATATTGTTATCCACGTCGCCACCACTTGCGACGAACATGGAGTCTACGTCACCAAGGACTCTGCGGAAGTGATTGAGTTGGGATGGATCTTGTTGGATACCAAAACCTGCGAGGAGGTGGGCATTATTTGATCTCGTTCATTGAACTTCCCCCCCCCCCCCCCGCCCAGCCTCCCCTCCTCGGACGCTTATCCGTCCGGCGTTCATCTTCCTGCTGAACTCAAATCACCGCCCAAAAATTCCATTAATTGCCATTCGCTGATCCGGTTGCCTTCCTCGGCTTAGTTGCACCATGAGAGCGTCCTCGTCAAGCCTGTCAACACCCCCATCACGCCTCTTTGCAGTAAGTGCACCCTGTCGACCGCAGCCTGCCTAATCACCAATTCCTTCCCTTCTTCTTCCCACCCGTCCGTCCCCCGGTTCAATGGCTGACGGTCTTTGAAAGCGAGCCTGACGACTCTGACATGGGAACACGTCCGCTCGGCAGGCACTTTCCGCGATGCCATCAATCGGTTCGACGCCTTCGCCCAGGAACACCTCATCAGCAAAAACCTGGAATTTGCTTTCGTGACGTTGGATTCATGGGACCTGCGGGTGCAGTTGCCCCGTGAGGCTCGGGACAAGGCCGTGGTGCTTCCTGCATACCTTCAGCACTCGCGGACATTCGACCTCCGCACCGAATATCAGCGCTGGCAGACTCACCACCCCGAGTCCCTGCCCTTCGGACCCAGCTCTCTTTCTAATATCTGCGCCGCCCTCGAAGTCGAGCCCGTGCAGTCCTCCGCCCCTATCAAGCACAACCTCCCCTTCCACCTGCAGGCTTTGGCCCCCGCATCTCCTCGACGGGCCATGGAGGAGGCCATCACACTGGCTAGGGTGCTGCGCGGCTTGATCCGCAAGTCTCAGCCTCCTCATGAGCATCCCGAGATCTTGACCCGGCCCATGGACGCCCGGGCGGACGTTCGTGCCTTCTTGACCGAGCGCAGCAAGGTTCTTCACCTGAGCGGACTCCCCCATGATACCACGCAGTCGGAGCTGGAGAGCTGGTTCACTCAGTTCGGTGGCCGACCGATCGCCTTCTGGACCCTCCGCACTCCTGATCAGCACAAGCCTACCGGCACCGGCTTCGCCGTTTTCTCATCCCACGAAGAGGTAAGCAATGGCCTGTTGGTCCTATCTTTTCTCCTTCCCGAGCTGGGTATCTAATGTGATCCGACAGGCTGCCGAGAGTCTGTGCATGAACGGCCGTGCCCTCAACGAAAAGGCTATTGAGGTCTCTCCCTCGTCCAGCCGTGTCCTCGACCGTGCCGCCGAGATCCTGACGCCTTTCCCCCCCTCGAAGAACCGCCCCCGTCCCGGTGACTGGACCTGCCCCTCGTGTGGATTCTCCAACTTCCAACGCCGCACTGCATGCTTCCGCTGCTCGTTCCCGGCTATGGCAGCCGCCCCTGATCCGATGGGATACGGGGCCTACGGCTACGGCCCGCCGTCGATGATGCCTCCTCACATGAGCCACGGCCACGGAATGGGTCATTCCCGGGGAATGGGTGGCAACGGTGGTGTGGTGCCCTTCCGTGCTGGTGACTGGAAGTGTGGCTCCGAGGGCTGCGGTTACCACAACTTCGCCAAGAACATCAACTGCTTGCGTTGCGGTGCTCCCCGGTCTGGAGCTGCGGTGGTCGCTGACTCGGCCTTCCCGTCCCCCATGGATCCTCCCTCGAGCTTCGGCATGGGTCCGAACTCCATGACTAGCACCCCAGCTCCCGGACCCTTCACGGCTTCGACCGGCAGCTTCAGCGGCTTTGGGCAGCAGTTCGCCGCACCCCCCAACAACTACGCCTTGCCTTCCGGCTTGGGTAATGCCCCGGCCGCCTATCCCCCGATGGGTCAGATGAACGCTGGTTATGGTTCCGCGAATGCTTCCCACTCCGCGGCCTCGTTCTCCAACCCGGCCGCTCAGGCTGCCTTCACCGGTGCTGATCACACCTCGTCCACCAGCGCCTCGAACGGTGCCTTCTACGGCAACGACGGGGCGAGCGACCCCTTTGCCTTCCTCTCCACGGGGCTGGGAGGCCTGACTGTGGGGGAAGACGCCCACTCCCGTCGCAACGGCGCTGGTGCTAACAAGTCCCCTGCGTAAAGGCTGTGAAAGCCCAAGCTTCCACAGGGGACTTTTGAGATTTGTTATTACGACGGTTCTCCCTCACGGGTTTTGTCCATATGGTGGTCTGGATATGTTGGTATATGTGACGGTTGGTATTCCGTTGATGCGCATTTGTATAAGGAATTCTGCAGTTCTGGTGCATTAGGTTGGGAGGAGCAGGCCGGTAGCGTGTCGTCGTTTGGTCCGATTTGATCCTTTCTGTTTTGCCTGGTCTCTCGCAGACTTGACGTCAGACCATTTTCGGTATGTCTTACTATTGCGTGTTTGTTGAAAGCGATGTTTGCGGGCATAGAAGACCGTCCGGGCAGGTGGGCCGAGGCGGTCCTATCCACTTCTTCGTTTCGCGTTTATTTTTGCCTTTTTTTTTTCTTCATGGAGCGGCATGGGCTTCGCGCTTTCTCTCGTGACGCACCTCTCTGGCGGAGAGGGAGGTGGCAAGGGGCTCGAGCATGGCATTGCATTCTAGATATTGTTTTTTTTTTTTTTTCCTTTGGCTTTCCGAGTTCATCTGCGCGCTTCGACAATAGGGATCATTGGAGAATCACGGTATTGATCATGGTTGGGATACAATGGAACGGACTCTGTTGGGGGTGTTGGGGTATTCCTTTTGAGCCAGCAAAATTTCGACCAGCAGCAACGGATTTGGGACATCTGCGAGGCACATGGATTGGGAGTCGTGCGTGCGACAAGACTGTTCTGGGTGTCCATAATTCTTGTACTGTTCTTCATCTTATTTACTGTTCTCGTCTTGTCTTCTACAAACTTTCCGCGGGTTTCGTTCTATCCCTCAAAAGTCGCGACGTGATTATCAGTTTCACCAGTATAGCCTTTCAGCGTTGATGTACAGCATGGTCGACTCCATTGGCCGAGATCGGGAGTCAAGCGGCTGGGATGCAGGTTGCTTCATGAGGTGGTCTCTGTATGCATCTTGAATCGTTATCATCTACTTTATGCCTGAGCCAGTGCGTGAGAATGGTGCCGTTGGCCCTTGCTGGGCGGACGGCCGACGCTTGATTCGACCGGACTACGCCATGCGTCGGTGATCGTGGTTACGTTCGTAATTATAGTCAGATCGTACTCTAGAATTGCTGGTGGTTATGCTGCGCTCTGGAAACCCAAGAGGGAAGGCGGGCAGCGTCATGCGGCTAGCCGCGCGCCAAGCGTTTGGGAGCTCCCAAGGCAGCGGCGGGCCTCGCGTCCACCTCCATCTGTCATCGCCCGGACACCGGATCCCCAGCATTCTACGACCCAAGACTACGAATTGTATCTTCCCGACGCCTTTCTTGCTTCCTGAACCTCTCCTCCGGCTCCCTGCTTTCACCCTCCCGCTACATCACGCCTACAGCCCATAATGTCTGGATATGATCGAGCTCTTTCAGGTAAGACAGCTAGCTACGACCTTGGCTCCTAGTCTCGTTGATGGAGGGATTCTCGGTGCTAACTACTCCGCAGTCTTCAGGTATGAATTTCCGACTTGATGAGCTTTAGACGCATGCCCTAACCCTCCCCCAGCCCTGACGGGCACGTCTTCCAGGTGGAATATGCCACGGAAGCCGTCAAGAGAGGTACGTCTACCGATCCGCACGGCACCACACCCATCATACTCATCATCCCTTTCGTCAACCAGGAACCTGCGCCGTCGGAGTCAAAGGCAAGGACGTGGTCGTTCTCGGCTGCGAGAAGCGCTCCGCTCTGAAGCTCCAAGATACCCGCATCACTCCCTCCAAGATTGCCGTCATGGACAACCACGCCGTCCTCGCTTTCGCCGGTCTGAACGCCGACGCTCGTATTCTCATCGACAAGGCCCGTCTAGAAGCTCAGTCCCACCGTTTGACGGTTGAAGACCCCGTCACCATCGAATACATCACCAAATACATTGCCGGGGTGCAGCAGCGGTACACACAGAGTGGAGGTGTCCGACCCTTCGGTATCAGTACCCTGGTCGTTGGATTTGACCCGAACGATAAGACGCCCAGACTCTACCAAACTGAGCCTTCGGGTATCTATTCCGCTTGGTGGGTTCCTCTCTTCTGAATATAGGTGGTTGGGCTGTGAGCTGACTGATGGGATATAGGAAAGCCAATGCTATCGGACGGTCCAGCAAGACGGTTCGCGAGTTCCTCGAACGCAACCACCAGGATGATATGGACCGGGAGCAGACCATTCAGCTGACCATCAAGTCGCTACTGGAGGTCGTGCAGACTGGAGCGAAGAACATCGAAGTGGCCATCATGTCGCCCGGGCAGGCGATCGAGATGCTGCCCGATGACCAGATCGAGGCGTACGTGAAGAGCATAGAGACGGAGAAGCAGGAGGAGGCGGCCAAGAAGAAGACGGGCCGGGGCGGCACCACGACGGCGGCCATCCTCACACGGGGTGGCGGCGAGGGCAGCGAGAGCCGGGAGTAGGCGATCGGCGGATGCGATAAACTAGAGGACTACGAGGGCTACGTCGAACTATGAGACTCGTGCGTGCTTTTATCCGGTTAATATTCCAGGGATCTTGCAGAAGCGGTTGCTTACGTCCTTTTACGAAAATAAACTCCTTTACACGGTAATCCAGGTGGTGTCTGCTCTGGTATATGAAAAGGTCTAGGGTGATATACAAGATTATAAAGGATGTATGAGCAAGGGAGAGCATGAAATCGTAAGTATCGTTCGTAAGCCGTCAGAGGGCGACTAGCCCAGGCGGTCGGAGAGATCTTTGAAGTTGAAGATGGAGCGTTCCTGGTGTCCACGAACCCGGTCATCCTTGAGCATTCTACCCGTCATCAGTACATCTTCCAAATCATAAACACCGCGTAAGCCACTGAGAAAAAAGACGAACCTCGAATCGATCCGCGCATCCTCACCCTCCACCTGCAACGTAGGCGTCGGCGTAACCGCCTCGATCACGAAATGGTTATCACAGTGCGGGCAATACTCGTCACTAATTTCCCCCCAGAAGGAAGATCCAAATCAGCATCCAACCCATCCAATAACCTAATATTCTATTTTCCCCCTATTCTTCGTCCCCCTCGGGGCCACCAAGTGGGGGTGGGGTGACGCACCTCTCATCAAACTCCGTCGCGTCTTTCCGGAAACACTTCTTGCACTTTTTGCAGGCGAAAACCTGTGATGCAGGTGGTTGGTTCGTGGTTTAAGGGGTGATGCTGGGTTTATAAGGAAGGGGGCGGTACCATTTCGGTGGTTTTGGTGAGAGTGTGGGATTCTTGTTCTTGGTGGCATTCGGCGCAGTCGAACCATTTTTTGCCTGCGGGGGAAGCAATCAGGGGTTAGTTGGGAGGCGACATGGGGGGTGAATTGGGAGGAGGACTTACAGCAGGCTGAGCGGATGGCCACTTGGGCGTTGAGGACGTGTTTACTGGGTTAGATGGTTAGGATGGGATCTGGTAGGTGAGGGTGCGGCGGAGGAGGGGTGAGGGGACATACCACATTGTTGGGATGGGGATGTGCGTAAGGATAGGGAATGGAGAAAGTAGAACAAAAGGGATCCAGTACAAGATGATCCAAAAAAAGAAATCCGTCAAAAAGACCAGCTGCGGGAGAGAAAGAAGAGAGGTTGGAGTAAATCAAGTCCGCTGCAGCGGTTCAGATAGTCGGGGAGGCTAAAAATAAAGAAGGGCCTCTCCATCCACCCATCCATCCATCCATTCATTCATTCATTCCATCAATGCATATCACGCGCGGGTCGATCATCGCTCTTCTCGCCTGTTGACTCCCTCTCTTCTTTTCTCTTCTCTTCTCCTCTCTCCTCTCTCCTTTCCTTTCCTCCTCTCCTCGACGGTCCCATTCTCAGGCTTCCTCTCTTTTTCCATCCATCCATCCATCCTATTGATCCCATCTGCTCCTCTCCCCACCCTTGGGATCCTCCCTTGCTCCGTCTTCCCCTCCTCTCCACACACTCCCTGCTCAATTCCTTCCATCGCTTCGATTCCAGGCCCATCTCGCCCCGGCCATCTTTCACGTCATCTGATAGATATAAATTGCCTCTCCTGCTCCCACCGCGCCTGACCTATCCTCTGCTCGTGAATCCCTTCCGCCTAAACTGGAGCTCCGCCACACTCGTCACTCCGGCTCGCTCCCTGCCACCCGTTATCTTACCCACTGTTGCCATTAAAATCCTACTGTGCCATCGCTGGGCCAGTTTCGGCAGTAGCCTGGTTGTCGCAATTGGTGGCCTATGATCGATTTCTTTAATCCGTCTTCTTGGATTCGCGGTTGTGGCCATGGAGGGAACTGGCAAGGAAAGAGACGCCACGGATAATGCTCCGCTTGTACGTTGGCGCAAGCTGCCTCTGCTGTTGTGAAGCTCATGCTAACCCGTTGTATCCTGTAGAGACCGGTGTCTTCCCTGCTTTCGCATTTCGAGAATCTGTCGCATCGTCGGGCTCCGTCCGCCGTCACCAACGGTTCACGCGATCCCCCATCCTTTCTCCGAACCCCCGAGTATGGCGATGATGTCCGCTCCTCTCGGGCCTCTCTGGACCTACCCCGGCCACGATCTCCCTGGGGATCGGTCCCCGAGATCGAGCGGAGTCACAGCATCGTACACAATGGCGTACCCCCGCGGCCTAGCGCATCCCCGGGGATTTCCCCGGGCAGACGGCAGAACAGGCCCATGTCGATGAACCTGCACTCGTCGCCACAGTTAGCGCCCACTCTGACGGTCGACTCTCCCCGGTCTCCGCCGCGCGGATTCGGAGCGGACCATGAGGAGGATATTCGCGTGTCTCGCAGCCCCCCGAATGCCTCCCGGGAGTCGCTGCCTACTATTCCCCAGGGGGTCTCCTCCCATCGACCAACCACCCCCATCACTGCGTCTTTTGCCACGGAGAATAAAACGGACCGCTTGTCGCCGGGCAATACAGATGCCGGAGCCAATGGCCGTGAAAGTCCGTCGGAACGAAAGGGCAAGAGTATTTCACTCCCTCCTCCCGCGAACCGGGCGGAGAAGCCCAAGATTCCCGCCAAACCTGCGGCCTTGTCACACCACGATAGCGGCTCTCTGGCTCCGCGGCAGGAACGTGCGTCCTCAGAAGATCGCATCTCGCCTTTTAGCACTCCCCCGAGCAGTCCTGAGAAAGCGTCGCCCAAACAACAGCCGTCTTCGAGGGCCGCGCCCATTCCGCGGTCGCCCTCCCACCGCTCGCCTTCCCGCCCTGTACCTGATCTCCCGATGCACCGGCCGCTGGAGGAGAGGCCGCCCGCCCCTCAGGCAGGTATATTCCGAGAACCGTCTTTTTCACAGAGGCGGCCCATCCCGGAACCCCCGCGGGAGACCAAGCCACTCATGGTCCAGATCCCTCCGAGACACTCCCTTCCGCCGGAGCCACTGGCCACCGCACCGCTTTCTCACCGGGTTTCGATGCACGACCCTCAGGAGCGCCCCGGACTGCCACCCCGACAGCCGTCAGTGGCACGAAGGGGCGGTCCATCACCGTCGCGGTATTCGTACCAGCCGCCGCCGGAGAGCCCGGCGTTTTCATTGCCTCCGCCGACGCCCTACCGTGAATCCCGTCCTCTTTACCGGGATGATCTCCCAACTCCCACAAATGTCCACCGACAACCGTCCTTCTCCCGGGAGTCCAGGCCTGTGCCACCCCCGGCTGTCCCCGAGCGGCCTGTGGTGGAACGCCAAGCGGTCCGCCCCATTCCGAGTGAGGATGAACAGGTTCCAGATGACGCGCCGGTTGCGCGCACAGATTATCCTGATGCATCCAGTGCAAATCGCCGACCGCCACTGCTGAAGTCAGGACCTCAGGAGATCCATACGCGGTACGACACACGACTGATGGATGTATGCGGGAAGCATGTGTGCACGACCGGATACATTACGCGGGTGTGGGATCTGACGACTGGGGAGCAGCTCATGAGCCTAAGTCATGGCGAGACGGTCAAGTGTTTGTCGTTGGCCTTCAAGCCCGGTGCAGGTCTGGAGGACGAGGGCCAGCGATTGTGGCTGGGCACGAATGCCGGTGATCTTCATGAGATCGATATCTCGACCCGTTCCATTGTCGCATCGCGGTCCTATCCCTCGCGACGGGAAATTGTCAAGATCTTGCGGCATAAGAAGGAGATGTGGACCCTTGATGATGAGGGTCGGTTGCTGGTGTGGCCGCCAGATGAGACCGGGACCCCGAACCTGCAGTACAGCTACCACAACCCCTATGATCGTGTCGCCCGCGGACACACGTTCTCCATGGTGGTGGGTGATCTTCTATGGCTGGCTTCCGGGCGCGAGGTGCACGTTTATCGGCCCAATGCGCGTGATGATGTCTCGTTCAAGGTCCTCAGCCGGCCACTCGGCTTGCAGCATACAGGAGATGTCACGTCGGGTGCATACACCACCCAGGATGGCGGCCGTGTGTATCTGGGTCATGCCGATGGAAAGGTGACGGTATACTCGGCCCACGACTACGCGTGTCTATCGGTTGTCAATGTCAGCGTCTACAAGATCAACTGCCTGGGCATTGTGGGAGACTATCTGTGGGCGGCGTACAAGACCGGTATGATCTATGTCTACGATACCGCTACGAACCCGTGGACGGTGAAGAAGGATTGGCGCGCTCACGACAGCCCTGTGAGCGGTTTTCTCCTTGACTCCAGCAGCGTGTGGACGATGAATCGACTGCAGGTCACTTCGCTGGGTGACGACAACTGCATTCGTCTGTGGGATGGGATGCTAGAGGACGATTGGCTGGGTAGGTTGGTCGCTTGTTGACTGGCGGAGGCTAACAGTAGTAGAATCTCGAATGCAGGCCCGGGATGTGGAGTTTTGCTCGTTCCGGGAAATCCATGCGGTGATCCTGACCTGGAACGCGGGGGCATCCACCCCGGGGAGCGTGCGCACATCGACCTTTATCCAGGATGCGATTCATCCGGAGAATCCGCCGGAGATTTTGGTGTTTGGTTTCCAGGAGCTGGTGGACCTTGAAAATAAGAAGATCACAGCCAGTATGTGCTTCCTATTGATGATAAGACAGGGCTAACCCCGTTCAGAGAGTCTGCTCCTCGGGAGCAAGAAGAAGGAGCATGGTGATAAGGAGCATATGAGCCGACAGTACCGGGTGTGGATGGAGCATCTGACCCGCGCTATCAACGACTGCATGCCGCTGGAAGAGTCGTATGTGCTACTGCACAGTGGGAACATGATTGGTCTTTTTACGTGTGTATTTGTCAAGCACAAGGAGCGGCAGCGGATCACGAATATCAGCGCTACCGAGATCAAGCGGGGTATGGGAGGATTGCATGGGAATAAGGTACGTTTCATACCATTCCATTGGTCTGAGGTACTGACGGTTTAGGGTGCATTGATTCTACGCTTTGTTCTGGATGACAGCTCCCTCTGCTTTGTCAACTGCCACTTGGCGGCTGGCCAGACGCAGACGGCGCACCGCAACAACGATATCGCCGCGATCCTCGAGGCGGAGTCGCTCCCTGCCGAGAGCAGCCTTGCGACCCGCGCGAATCACTATGTGAGCGGCGGTGATGGCTCGATGATCATGGACCATGAGATCTGCCTCCTGAACGGAGATCTCAACTACCGGATCGACTCGATTCCGCGCAACGTGATCATTGACGACATCCGCAGCAACAACCTGACGAAGTTACTCGAGCGGGATCAGCTCCTGGCATCGCGACGCAAGAACCCGGGCTTCCGGCTTCGGTCCTTTAACGAGGCGCCTATCACGTTCGCGCCGACCTACAAATACGATGTGGGCACGGACGAGTACGACTCCAGCGACAAGAAGCGCGCGCCGGCGTGGTGTGACCGGGTGCTGTATCGGGGTCTGGGTCGCGTCCGACAGCTCGAGTACCGTCGACACGAGGTGCGTGCCTCGGACCATCGGCCGGTCAGTGCCACGTTCAAGCTGCGCATCAAGACGGTGTTGCCGACGGAGCGGGCGGGGACGTGGGAATCGTGTCAGCAGGAGTTTCAGAAAGAAAAGCGGCGACTTGCATCGGAGGCGAGGTAGGTTTTCTTCTCCGGAGGTTCCGTCCGTGGCTAACTGGTATAGTATCGAATATCTCATCACCGTGCTCGGGACGGACCCTCAACAGGCGCGAGGATTGATCCTGGGCAATGGGAGCTGATCTTATATGGTTGGAAAGGTAGACGGCGATGTGTATGACTAATGAATCACGATAGACATGTATCATGACGGGATAGACCCGCATTAATGTATATAGCAGTACCAGTAGACATGGATCATACATATATATCCGTGCACCCACCACCGCATCATCATGCACGTACAACAGTACCTATTCTACCAAATCCAAGTATCAGGCATCATGTTTAAACCTATTCGCCGTAAATAAGGCATGATAATAAGAACAGAATATGCCGACACATAAAAAGAGTGCAACAGTACCCTCGTCGCCCATCCACACGTTTCATTGATAAAACCCCAAACCGCAAAAGTATCCAACAATGGGCCTATGGCGCAATTGGTAGCGCGTAGTAAGTTCACCTTGAAACCAATCAAGATCTCCCAAACATCCTCTAACCACATCAACAGCGACTCCAGATCGTAAGGTTGTCCGATCGAGCCGGGCTGGGCTCATCCCATCTTTTTTTCCCCCACATCTATCCCACCCACCGTTTCGTCCCACCATTTCATCATTCTCTATTTGATTGATGGTTGGGTGGAATATACACCGGGAGATAATGTTGGGACATGGACTACTATTTTTGGGATCTGCGCTTGATGTATCGGATATTAGATATCCCTTGCAGTGCGGTGTGAGGCGCAGGGGGGCTAAAAATATGTGCTCTGTAGGTATCTGTGGGCGGGCGGGTAGGTGGGTATTGATGATATTTTGGGATTGTGGCTGGTTACTGGGTATGGTATGGGTTTGAGACATGTATATAGATAGTAGCATGATCGGGTGCATCGTGTTATGGTGTATGGTAATTGGAGATATTTCATTAAACATGAGTGATGGCATCCCCACTTGTACATCAACGATCTATAAATTTAAAAAAGCCAAGAATAATCACCTATGGGCCTATGGCGCAATTGGTAGCGCGTAGTAAGTTCACCTTGCATCCACACAGGATCACAACACCATCTAACCACATCAATAGCGACTCCAGATCGTAAGGTTGTCCGATCGAGCCGGGCTGGGCTCATACCTTCTTTTTTTTTTTTGCTTGTTACATTGTGGTTTTTGGGTGGGGTGGGTGTGTCCAATATATTATAGTTCTTTTTTTTGTGCAAGTCAGTATATATGGTGGTCATGAGGTAGTGTGGGGAGAAGAGGGTTACTGTTTGCTTCGCCTACGGGATCACTTATCACTAGGTCACTAGGTTAGCAGAATCGATTCGTCTTGAGGCATATATTCCAGAGACTTCTATCCATTCTAAATACTACCTATCTACTCCATATGTAGTTTACTATACTATCAGAATCTCAGCCGAGCACTACTACCGATTAAGGAACATACTAGCACGATGATTCCCATTCCATCAATTAGAATCCCTACTAATTGAAGCATATACCACAGAATGTCGACCCCCATCCAACTTATCTAACCCTGTCGGTACTAAGCAGATCCACCTGAATCCATAACATATCACCTATCTATATCCGTATCTTATCAAGATCAATAATACCTTTACTAGCAAATGGAATACTCATTGCCATGCTACTCTGTGAAATGTCCTGTCCGTGGCATCGTGGATATTACTTGGTTGTTTCTATATGTTGTATTTGTATCTGTAATTTGGGCATTAATGGGTTTGTAGGGTTCGTACTGGGAATATGGAGGTAGGTATCTAGGTAATCTCCAACACGACTGGGCGTGAATTACCCGCAGAGCTTCAGTATGCCTGTTAATCCCTGCAGCCCGAGTTGCCAATGAGAAGAAAGTGCTCGCAACTGGCATCTAGCTATATAAATTACGGTATTTCGAATTAGGAATAGGAGTATTAGATTTAGATACCATCATCTCAAGTTGGAAAGTCTCTGAAGAGACTCTGGTGCCGTATAGTGTCTTTGTTGTGATTAGAGGTCTGGACGATTTGCATAGTATTTAATGGACTGGATTCAGCCTGAACCGTGTGATGACCTGTAAGTTATCCCGGTCCCTGCGTCCCTGCATGGCAGAATAAGAATCCTATTTTAACCGATTCTGGGTGTTAAAAGGGTAGGGACAGCTTTTTATAAGATTGGGCAAATTGTTGTATGTAGTGTTACTTATATCTACCTTTACTTTCTTAGCCCCTCAAGACATTCTGTATCTATCTATCTAAGCCAAGACATGGAATGCTTATCTGCCTAATTACTCGGCTGGCCCCTTTCGCATACATCCTAGATGTGAAGATGAAATCTAATGTTGGATTTATCACTAGAAGAACGTCCTATGATTGAAGGAGTATGCCCCTTTATCTGTGAATATTATTATATATTCATGAAAGGAAATGATTCTCCAAAAATCCTAATTACCCTACTAGCCCAGATAGCCCTAATAGACTATACAGAGTAGGAAATCTCCAGTATGTTGGAGTACTTCTTGGATTGTAAACAAAGACCCCCCGAAAGGCTATTTCTGTTAAGTATAGATATACTATATACAAAACAGGTGGAGTATTGATTACGTAGATCCAGTCAGAGCACAATAGCCAAGCCCTGTGGGAGCCTGGGAGGGGATGAGGCAATGCTTATCTCTATCGGTGGCCAAAGCGTACACCCTAGTACTACTATGTCGTACGGTCGTCACAAAATCCACCAATCCTGGGGAGTCCAGTGGAGGCAGGGTCTATGTACAATGATCTCGTTGGCCAAAGCGTAGGCAGCCATGCCGCGAAGCCCGGCGGAGCCCGGCGGAGGACGTTTTGTTTAATGATCCTAGTAGATGGCGACAGCGAACCCCTATATAAAGGAGGAGATCATTAAAGAACAATGACTTTTACTTCTCCGGTTCAAGCTTGGAAGGGCTATTTTGCCTTTCATCTTGTTGCCTCCCTTGTTGTTCGTCGAAAGCGCGATATTCTGCATCCCCTCGCCCGTGCAGTCGCTTGTCGCTCGATACCATTCTTGCCAATGCGATGGAGATGGATGCGCTAGTCTCGAACTTGATCGGGCAGGGTGAGCAGCTTTGCTTGCCTTCTCACCGTCAGACTCAATATTCTACCACATGGCAAGATCTGCTATTGTCATTCCTGCCACTATTTCCGGCATTGGCCTTTGCCCTCTTTGCGCCTTGGAAGTGTGTTCAACTTCGACATGAGCCAATCAAAGTCATTCAGAATAAGAAAGGAGCCTGGAAAGTAGTAAGTGAGCTCGCCTTTGTCATTGCGACCTGCACTGATTCTCTGTCAGGCTACATCGACCACTTTGTTTGTACTATATCTGGCCCAGGTGATCCTTGAGGTTCAAGCAGACTCGCCCGCAAGATTGCTCGGACCGGCTGTTGCGCTCCTGGCTGTTTCAGGCCTGATTCCCTACTTAACCCTGAGGAACCATGCCAGGTCAGTCAAACCTTTTGACCTGCTTAATGCCATCTTAGCTGCATCGATCGTTCTCGACGTGGTGCAGGCCAGCCTGCATTTGCTCGGAACGCACCAGTGTCAGGTTTCCTCTTTGAATTTGGCTACATTCCTTGTCAAAACCGTGCTTCTGGCGCTCGAGTTGCAAAGCAAGCGCGGCATCCTTCGCGAGTCCTGGCGCGACCTCTCGTTCGAAGAGACGGAGAGCACGTTCAGCCTGGCGCTCTATTGGTGGGTGAATGCGCTTCTCCGGAAGGGATATTCCAAGCTTCTCGACCCGGGGGACCTTCCTCCGTTGCCGAGTAGGCTCTCATCGAAGCTGCTGAGGGCGAGAATGAAGATATGCTGGAATAAGCGATGTGTGTTCCCGATAAGTAGTCTCTGTCTTTGCCTTGGATGGTCACTCACCTATAATAGCCAAGCCAGAGAAAAGATACGCCCTCGCCTTAGCCACGCTGAGATGTACCAGCAGGGAGAATTTAGAGGTCGTCCCATACATGCTTGCCGCAACTCTCATTCGCTATGCGCAGCCTCTGCTGATGTCGCGGTTGATTACCTTTGTGGGTGCTTCTTCAGGGGAAGGGGCTAAGTTCCAGGGCTTCAAGCTGGTGGTTTCGGCGGCTTTGATTTATATCGGCCTAGCTGTGAGTGACAGATCGACGCTTGCAGTTCAGATTCAATAAGCTTACCTTGATCGATAGATTTTGAATGGCCAGCGGGATATAGCAAAGCGAAGAGTCGATATTGCCGTCAAAGGATCGCTCGTCGGAATCATCCACGAAAAAGCCCTGCAGTCCAATCATGACGATCACTCCGCCATTGCGTTGATTGGAAACGATGTCGAAGATGTGCAGATGGCGGTGTCCCGATTCCATAATCTATGGTCCTCAGCTCTGTCACTAGGCTTGGGCCTCTTCTTGCTGGTTTCTCGACTCAACTGGGTCAGCATTGTGCCGATACTCTTACTTCTAGGTCGGTTTACCCTTGACAGACCGTGTTCCTGATTGTTAACAGGATCTCAGGTACTTCTCAGTGCAGCAAATATGTCTCGAAAGTCTTTGTCGCCAAGCAGCGGGCCTGGAATGATGCCTCACAGACGCGAATCGGTCTCATCAAGACCGTCCTGGAAAAAATGAAGTCAATCAAGGCCATGGGCTTTTCGCAACATGTCGAAGGAAAGATTCAAGGCGCTCGTGACGTGGAGTTAGCGGCAGCCCGGGTGATCTATTGGCTGGACGTGCTTCTAGCAGCTTCTGGTACGTCAAGTTCTTCACTCACTGTTTACCCACCGAAGCAGACAAGAACTGATCTTCTTAGCGAGTTTTCTCAATGCTGTTGGACCGGCCATCACCCTTGGAATCTACACCACTTGGGCTAAGTGGACTGGACATGCCCTTCTCGATGCAGATGGAATCTTCACTTCGTTCGCTCTGGTCCAGATGGTTACCCTGCCCGCCAACTCCATCTTGTTCACCCTTCCGGCATTTTTCTCCGCACTGGCAGGGTTTGACCGGATCCAACGCTATTTGTTAGAGCCCGTGCAAGAAGACAGTCGCGTCGTCCTTGCGAGAGGGGCAGAGGCTGCCAGTACGCCAAAGCGTGATGAGCCGGTGGCGTTTAGAGATGATGCTATTTCGGTGGAAGATCTGACCGTCACTTATAATGGATCCAGACCGGTGATACAGAACATCACGTTTAGTATTAGCAAGGGTTCGATTGTGATCATCACCGGAGCCACTGGGTCTGGGAAAACCACCCTGCTCCGGACGATCATAGGAGATCTGCCACCCGAAACGGGGACCGCACTGGTTACTTCTAGCGTCATGGCATACTGTGCGCAGTCACCATGGCTAGGAAACGGCACGATTCGTGACATTATTGCCGGACCTCCAGGCTCGAAAGTGACCGACGACGAGTGGTACCGACGAGTCATTCGAGCGTGCGATCTGGAATATGACCTTCGAAAGCTGCCTGCGGGGGATCGTACGATGATCGGCAATGGAGGTACATCTCTTTCCGGGGGCCAACGACAACGAGTGGTAAGCTGGGAGACCCGTGATGTTCTGCGTTTCTAATGAGTCCCAGGCGCTCGCCCGAGCCATCTATTCCGGCCTAGATATCCTGGTTCTGGATGATGTGTTTAGCGCCCTCGATGCTCGAACAGCTGGACGCATCGGCAATCGCTTGCTCGGTCCCGCGGGTCTGTTTCGCGAACTCGACAAAACTGTGATTCTGAGCACACACACAGGTATAGATGCAAGACACTACCCCAGTATCTTACTGACATCCGATCTAGTCAACTTTCTTCCTTTCGCCGACGAGGTGATCATGCTGAAGAATGGGAGCATTGCCGAGCAGGGCCCGTGGGAGCAATTCCAGGGCCAACCTCGCTTCAACAGCGTGAAGACACCCGAGGTCGTTGAGAGCGATGATGATTTTGAAACCACCCATACACCCTTTCAACAGGAACCGCCCAAGGCAAAGACACCGTCGGATTTGACCCGCCAAACAGGCAACGGAGCCATCTATTGGCACTATATTCAAGCGATTGGAAAACCGCGTGTTTTCGCCACCCTTGTCATTATGGTTTCCTCTGCGACCTTTGCGGTGCTCATCCAGACCTGGCTGCGATGGTGGTCAGCAGACAGCCAAGCCGAACAACGGACGTGGCTCCATCTGACCGTCTATCTGGCTCTCTCTCTTGGCCACTGGTCCGCTCTCGCCAGTATCAGCACCGTCTCACTGCTCATCGTGCCAACATCCGGCCGCAACCTACACAATCAGCTATTGACGACCGTAGTCAAGGCTCCACTGGCATTCATCACCTCCACGGATATCGGCACGACGCTATCGCGCTTCAGCCAAGACATGACCCAAGTCGATCGCCGCCTCCCAGGCCAAGTCGCCGCGCTAGGCAGTCAAGCATTCAAGCTCCTTGCCCAGGTGTTTTTACTCTTCATGGCGCAGACCTACATGCTGATCACGTTTCCCGTCCTAGCCCTAATCGTCTACGCCATTCAGAAGATCTACCTCCTCACCAGCCGGCAGCTCCGGTGGCTCAGCATGGAAGCCAACGCCCTACCCAGCAACAACTTCTTAGAAACCGTCCAAGGCATCGCAACCATCCATGCCTTCGGATGGGAAGACGCGTACGCCGCCGAGAACAGCAAAGCCGTGGATGCCGCCCAATTACCCTCCTACACCCTCTTCTCCATCGAACAGTGGCTGGCCCTCGTGCTCGACTTGATCGTCGCCGGGGTGGCCCTCCTCAACGTGATCCTCATCGTGACCCTCCGGGACCGCTTCACGCCCGGCGACGTGGGAATCAGCTTGAACGTGATACTCACCGTGAACATGGTCCTCTTAATCACCGTTCAATCCTGGGCGAACTTTGACGCCTCGCTAGGCGTCATCGCCCGTATCATGGACTTCGCAACGACGGTGACCCCGGAGGCTGAACCAACCGAACCACTACTCCCACCCACCTCATGGCCCGCTCGCGGTGCCCTCGAAGTACGGAGCGTGGTGGCCGATTATGACCAGCCAACAGACGCATCCCACGCGCTCGACCACATCTCGTTGACCGTCAGCCCCGGCCAAACCATCGGCATCTGCGGCCGCACCGGCAGCGGGAAATCCTCGCTCTTCTTATCTTTCGTCCGTCTTCTCGAGCTATCCGAGGGTAGCATCCTCATCGACGACATCGATCTAACCTCTCTCTCCCGAGACGTCGTCCGCTCTCGACTCATCACCCCCCCCCAAGACCCCTTCATCCTCTCTTCCGACTCCATCCGTCACAGCCTCGACGCAACAGGCACTGCAACCAAGGAAGAGATCCTGGACGCTCTGGATAAGGTGCACCTCCTCACTCTCTTCGAAGACAAAGCATTAGACGCCGGCTTCACCGCGACATTGTTCCTCGACGTCCCAATGACCGAGTGGCCGCTCTCGCAGGGCCAATTGCAACTATTTTCGCTCGCCCGGGCCCTGTTGCTGCGTCGGACGCGCGGGAACGTGGTTTTGCTCGATGAGGCAACGAGTAGTATTGATCTGGAGACGGATGCGTTGGTACAGCAGGTGCTGAGGGAGGAGTTCCGAGGGTATACGGTTCTCGTTGTGGCGCATCGGCTGGAGACGATTGTGGGGGTGGACGCGGTGGTGGTGTTGGAGCAGGGTCGGGTGGTGGAGGTGGGGGATGTGCGGGAACTGTTGCAGAGGGAGGGGTCGGTGGTGAGGGGGGTTTTTGGTTTAGAAGCTTCTTGATAGGTGGTTTCTTGTAAGATAGCGTATGGGGCTGGGGATAGTGATAGGTACTATTGCTGTTGGGGCGAATGTAAGATCTGTTGGCGGCTGAGGTGTGATGGATGTATGTATGCGATGAAGTGATGGTGTGTCTGGTTGCATATGACTGACTATCTTGATTGACTGGTATTGCCTGGTGACGTACATTATGATTTGATTCTGTGATGATACTCTATTTTACACCAGTTTGTACATAAGGGCAGACCATTCCAGTCAGACATTGGTGGCATGTTCATCCACATGAATGAATGAATGAATGAACAAATAATTGGTCTCCTCCCACCCGTTCACTATCCATCGACTAATCGGAACATACCAAGTATTGGCTCAATCATCCCCTGTGCATGCGACTGGGAGCGACCACCCAATAATCAATAAAACTTCCGACTAATCACTGTTATCTTCCGCAGTCGGCCACCAATGTTAGGCATCTACGGTACGAGTCAGTAGGTCGTACAAACGGTAGGCAGCCTCCAATCCGGCCACGTCGTCTGTTCGCTGACTTGATTTGGGGATTCAACTTGGGCATATAAAAGGGGTGTCGCCATACCAGATTACAATGATATTACCCCTTACTCGCAGTCTGATTTCGCTTTAACTTTCACAAAATCAACAACCACTTCTCTGAGTCTCAGATAATACCGCTTGCATATATCCCGCCTGGTCCTAATCCGCCTTTGAATTCATTTACGTGCCTCTCAAAGCTCATCCCTCCAAAATGAAGTTTCTTACCTATCTCCTGATCAGCGTCTCCGCGACCACCGTTCTAGCGGCTAGTTCTTCGACTCCCAATCTCAATGCTGAAGAGTGCGGAGCGCTGGGAGTGATGGAAGTTGATCTCGCCAGCCTGCCCGAGGGCGTCACTGCGGCGGATGTGCGCAAGTGCAGAGATCATCCACTGGGTCGCCCTGCCTACCCTGGTGCTGGTGTCGGTGGTGTGTTTCGTCGATTTCTGCCGACGTGGGTGTTCTAGATTCTTGGCGGGGGATTCCTTTGTCTTGTTGCATTCAACGGTTTCTATGGTGAATACCTATGGAAAACTGTTGGTGTTGATGGGATTGCTTTTCATAGTTTGACTCTCACTTGCTCTCTATGTCCTGGTTACCATGGGGTTCATATTTATGCCTAGAGATATATTTACCGAGTTAGTAGTACGGAGTATTTACACCACTACAACATTCCCTGCCGATCATTTACCCACCACATGTCTATCAATCTACATCTTACCTCAATCGTAGTATTTCTACCCCTAACTCCCAAACTCCAACCCAACTACACCCCAAAAGTAACCCGCTCCCCAACTCAACAGTTGCCCCTCCACCAACATCACCCCCCACCAACCCCTCCCCGAACAAATACTCAAGAAATCAAAAACAATCACCAAGAATGGGCCTATGGCGCAATTGGTAGCGCGTAGTAAGTTATCCTGCTCTCATCAGCAGTCACAAACATCATCTAACAAATCTTCCACAGCGACTCCAGATCGTAAGGTTGTCCGATCGAGCCGGGCTGGGCTCATCCCATCTTTTTTTTTCCTTTCCTTTTTTTTTTCCCACTTGCCTTGTTGGATGGTTAGGGTGTCGGAGTTGGTTTTTGATGTCGTGTGGTTAAATGATTCATAGGGAAGAGCGTGAGAGTTTTGTTGTGTTGCAGATGGTCATGAGTTGGAGTTAGGATGCTTTTCATCCATCCCATGGTATGGTTTGGTCAGTAGGTTGTAGAATTATCTCTGTGGATACATCTCCGTTGTATTTACTCTGTCAGGCATCCTGAGATAGAGTACTGGGTTAAGGTTCACTGACTAATTCGCTGGTGACTGAGATTAACTTGTTCAGAGGACAGTGCTATTGCCCGAGAAGTATTCTAGTGCTGGCATTTTATTTTCTTTCCGTCTCAATTGCCTGGAATATATCATGACTCTATTCTTTAAGGTTACAGAGAGGACAAGATCTATCACGAAACCAAATATACACCTTCATGTCATCACCAACTTGGCGTGCACACGGAATTAATGGTCCAGATCAGGGGAAGAGGACGGGTTTCTAATATCTGTCCAAGAAGGGCATGGGATTTATTTCAGAGGCTAGGAGATCTCTGAATTATACAAATACACCATACTGCGAAAGCATACTGATCTAGAAGCGCACGAGCGATGGATCCAAATTGGATCATGATATTGCCCCATGGCCGACACAGCGCGTCGTACATATACAACGCTAAACCTACAATATATCGTCAAACTCGAGCGGTAGTTTTCATCAATCCTCGATGGTCTAACGGTCATGATTTCCGCTTGTCAATCCCTAACCGGAACAAGCGCGGGAGACCTGGGTTCGACTCCCAGTCGGGGAGATTTCTTTTTGCTTTTACCTGTCAAACGGGAACTTCCTGTATGGAAGCGAAACGGGTTGGTTGAAGTGTCAAACAATATGGCTTCCGGGGAGGGATCCATCCAGGCCTTGAGATAAATAAACTCATGGCTTCGCGAAATTTGCCCACCGCGGAACTACCGTGAGTTCAGTCCCCGCCATTCTAACGTCTTTCCCTTCGACCCTCATCCTTTTGCGGTCCCGCGCTTGCACCTTTCTCTTATCTGTAATTCTGTAAAGAAAACCGATATTCTTCACCATCTGCCTTGCCTTCTGTTGGTGCCAGACATCTTGCGTCCAGGCCTGAACCGGCGCGATTCTCGGGTGGTTGAGGTATTCAGATCGGCGCAGAAACCTATTTCCGGACATTCTATGTCAATGGGGACGCACTTCCATGTTGCCCTCGTTTTGTTAGATCTTTAGAGCACTCACTGCCTGAAGTGGACCCAGATATTGCTCTCCACTCGCGCTGGCCATTTTTCAGGGTCCCCAATGAACAATGTGCCCCCAGTCGGCCAATGCTCTTGCAGACAGCGTAGCAGAAGCCAGGTTTCATCTGCTGGCTGCGGCGGCTCCTTGTAGGGCTGAAGCCTGTCATCGGACCAGTTTGGCCGGATCAATTCTCGCCCCTCCCCATAAAAGAAGGCCCTCGGGAGAGGATCTGCACCCGGTGGTCCGAGTGTTTCGGGGGCTTCGATAACCATTTGGGATATAGTCCTTTCCCAATTCAATCCCGTCTCCATCTGCCACAGATCTATAAGCTTATAACCCTGTTCCGCAGTTTTCTGGCTGCCTGAGAGACGCTGTACGGGAAATGTGACCCGATTGCGGGGTCCCAAAGCTCCAGCGTAACTTAGGAATGAAGAGCCGGCTTCATCGCGCAGATCGATGCCGTTCTCGGTGCTGACCTTATGGTTAGGATGGGTCTTTCGGTCTGAGAGGGGAATTCGAGCTCTCACAAGAATATGAACCTCCTTCCTGCTCTGGTGGTTTCGTGGCTGGATTGAGGAGGACACATGATAAATTTGTGTTTCTCCCCGTGGGGGTCTACCCAGTAGATGCCAAAGGTGCGATTCTTCCAGATGAAGACCTCAGTCGCGTTGAGTTGTGATAGATACACTGGCTTGAATCGCAACACCCGGTCGGGTGATATTGCCTCGGCCATTCTGGCGACATGAACCCACTGCCAGACGTCAAGGTTGCTTGAAAGCTCGGCAGTGACCTCTTCTCTAACTTCTGCCGATGAGAGTCCGCCATTTCGTTGCAGCAGTATTCCCGCAACTAACGCCTGGATCCCATCAGAGAGGACTGGGGAAGATGGGAATTCAGGCACAGAACAATTGCTCTGATTGTGTCCGGTAATCGATGGGCTCAGTGCTGTTACTATGGCATCCACGAAAAAGGACGTCCCAGGCCTCACTGCATTAGCCCACAAAAACCAATCATGCGCATTTTCACGACTGATGTGGACATGCAGTTCGGGAAGATTTAAGTTCCAAAGGCGATACGCCTGCTGTCTGCGGCGGTCCGACATGATATCACCGGCTGCAAACCCGCTGTAGACGAAACGATCCTGTAGAAGTGTAAGACGTACCGTGGCTTCACGCAAGTCTTACGCTAATAAAGCATTTTGACTGGGAAGAAACGTGAGACCCGCGGGATACTGGCACATACCATATCTTTCCTGGTCGCAATAGCAATTCTAGACCTATTACTCGCATCCAAGATCTTCGGTGCCTTTTTGGGTCGCTCCGCATGGAGCTCTTCCTTTAGACGATCAAAGGTCTTGTAGAACTGCTTATCACAAAGGACACTGTCAACCTCCTGTTTGATGTGCTTACACCAGTCTTCTCTGCTTTCGTTCCAAGACGTCTCCGCGGAGTCGAGGGCCGTACTGATCGTCAGAAGAAGGACCCACAGGGTCATATCCAAGACCCTAGCGAACACTTCCGGCTCGATAGAAAACCGGCCTTGACCAGGATGAAAGCACGGGATCTGAATGTACCAAAGCCCGTCGCAGTATACCAAGTTGAGTCGACTGACTTCCGTCCAAAAGCGACATGACGATGGGTAGCCGAACGGATGCGTGAACCCGGAGGCTATCGTAGCCGAAGATTTTGCAGACATTGTGAGAATGACAAGTGGCCGGACAAGCATTGTATACCTCTTCAGGAATCCCGTGGCCGCCAAAAGATCCGGTCCTTCTGCCTTGTACCACGGACAGAGATCCACGAATGGGAATACCCCTGCAGAGACCAACTCATCGAAACAATTCCTTGTGCCAGTGTCCTCCCCCTCCCAGGCCCAAAGTCTATTCAATGAGGACTTTAACATCAATGCTGAATTGCTGGTCCCCGTGTAAAAGGCCCGGTGGTTATGGTAAGATTCGTGACTGATGCCGGGCCCCGACAGTCAGGAGAAGTACATATCTTCCGTCTAGTCGTGAAGGCATCGCTTGATCAACCATCATTGTCTTAAGCGCATCTGAAAAGTCATGGAACCTGTTTCTAAAAAGGGAAACCGTTACTCGATGGTCTCGTGCATATTGCTGAATGTCCGCAGCCCAAGCTGAGATTTGAGTACGCCGTTGCAGGACTTCAAAGCGCAACGGAGACAGCCGTGCGATTGTTCTCGTCCCTAATGCTTGGAATCTCTTGCGCTGTTCATTGCTCTGGTGTAGTAGGCAGTCTTTAGCGGTAACAAGTGTTCGATTGAGAAGGGACGGAAGGCCGAGTAAGGAGATGCACACTTTTTCCACGGTTTCCATGTACTGACAAGTTCCCGAGGCAGTTATGACCTGGGTGTCCGGAAATGCATAAAGCGATGCGGAGTCGATTATTGTGGGATGATCCCTCTCCAGGCAGGTAAGGAATTTCGATAAAAATCCTGATTTGCGCGTCACAAGATCCTCGTGGTGACGTCGGAACGCTCCTCGCGTCGTCCGTCCAACGTACCTTACGTACACAAGGTCATTAGGACGCATGCCTTCCATGGCGTTCAGCCAGATAGTTCCCTTTGCATATTCAAGTCCAGCCTCATGGAGATGTGCCACGACACTCTCCAGCTCGCCCACCGTCATTTGGAAAGACCGGATATACAACGTCATTCTGGGCTCCTGGTCTTGGGGCAATCTCGTCGCCGTTGCAGGGTTGATTGGCAAAGCTTCCTGGAGATCCCTGTTCGATACTCGCATCGGCGTGTACAGAAGCCTTTCCCATAGTTCAATTTTGGGTGCCGTTGGGAGGCAAGGCTGTAGCAACTGTGGTGCGACCCGTGCCGTGTCAATGCCGCTCTGGACAAGGCGTTCCAGAATTATCTGAGAGACTCTCTTCCTGAGAGGTTCTATACCCTTCAAGTGTGACAAACGTAGCGACGCTTCGGAGCATCTCCTCTTCGAAGAAGGACAGGGGTGAGCGTGGTTTAGGCTGCACGAGCGTTGTCGGTGTTGAATCATAGTTTCACGAAATGTAGAAGTTTGATGGCCGAATCTTTCAGAGAAGGGCATCAGTAGCAGTCCACAACACGCGCAGTCTGGTAATCAGCTGACCCAAGCGAACCTATCATTGAATGAGGAGCCTCCTTTGCACGGTCATGGCGGGGCGTCTGTAATCTTCAGATGAGGTCAAAGGTATGAATTGGATAAATCGGGGCTGTTGATTTTCAACAACTGCAAAGTCTTTCTCAAAAGATCGAAACCTCACAGCGCATCTGGGACCTTGGGAGCCGACCCCGCCTTAACCCGAGTATTCACTGTGGCGATGTCTTACTGTCACCCAACAGTCATGCTTAGGAGATGATCAAGAGTCAAGATTCCATACCCATACGAGGATATCTCTACCGTCGTAGACATGGCAATGATCAACCGCCCCACCAAGCCTTACCATCCTTGATATAGCTAGCTATCGGTGTGGCCCTCCCTGCTGTAGGCTGAACCATATCTCCGCAATGTAGATGATTGTGTAGAAGAACACAAAGCGGCGAAAGAATTATGGTGGCTGGTGAATTGTAGTCGAAGGAGTTGAGTTGTCAGTGCCAGCCACTGAAGTAAATAATAATACATCGATAGAACAACATTAATCTGAATGTAAGAAAGCCAATTCAACACCCACTCACACATCACTCCTCAAACCATTTATCTCCCAGGAGCTCCTTCGCGGTCGGCCTATCCCTAGGATCAAGTTTCATTATCTTCATAACAAACTCCCTATCCTCCACCGAAATCTCCCGCAAACTAGCCCTCGAAAAAGGCTTCATTTTCTGGGGCGGGACGCTTTCCATAACATAGGACAAGATCGCCAGTGTCTCCTCATCAGCCAAATCCACATACGAAGGGGGATACGGCCCAAAGAAAATATGGTGCTTGGTGAGAATCTCCAGCTCATACTCCTCATGTCCCCGTGGCACGTCAGGCTTGAAGATGAAGAAGTTCTCGCCCCAGATGAGGGATATAACCTGAGGGAAAGAGTTAGTCATGTTTTCTATGAGCTAGGCGGCGAAGGAGGAGAACACTGACCATTGTCCCAAATGACCAAATATCCGTGGGCGGACCCCACTGGAGACCCAGCTGTGCCTCTGGGCTTCGCCAGAATGGGGCCCCGATGAGGTTGCGGTCTTTGCAGAACTTGGAATCGATATGCACTGTATTCTCCAAGTCCGCGAGTTGGATGTCGGTAAATCGCTGCCCGTTCGACCCATGATTGACGAGAACATTGTCCAATTTCACATCTAGTCATTCTATTAGGATTAAATGTCTTTGGAGTGTATTAGTTGTCGGAATCTCATACCTGTATGCACATACCCATCCTCATGAAGGACGGCCAGACCTTCAAGGACCTTCTTTGATACGTACTTGATTTCTGGCGTCGTGAGTCTCTGAGCCGCCGAGGCATCGAACAGATCACCGTCCAGCCGCTGCAGGACGATGGCAGGGGGGTCAGCCGGGTCGACGATTTCATCCAATAGAGGACGGATACACGTAGTTCGGCCCTGGAACCTCTTCAGGACGCTCCTCTCGTTGGCAATTCGCGCTTGATGAGCACACTTGATGAGGACGGATTCCTTCGTCGCGTTACTATACGCAGCGTCAACTCTCCTTTATCCAAGGTAACGGAACGAGTAGGCAATACCTTGCTAACCACACACTGTCGTGGATCTTTTCAGTCAATGCGTATCTGCTGAGTCTGCCTTTCAGGCACTGGCCTAGTTTCAGGGCAACACTCATGGTGCACGGTGCACGGTGAGCGAAAATGATGCTAGGGATCTGGACGCGAAAGATGGACCGGCACACTTTATAAGAGGCGGGTGAGTCCCGCTTGGCAGTAATGTACCCGTACTGATCGACCTCAAGTATTATGGAAGCCAGAAAGAGGGCACAGATCTTATCTAATTCAGGTGCACGACCCCCAGGATATAGTATCCGAGGGGATCAATTCATTAATGTGAGGATATAAAATATCAGCAAGGGTGTTTTCTCGGAGGCTGATCCGAGGAATCCATCCTTCGTATCACGTGGAATTACCAAAGAAGAAGAAGAAGAAGAAGAAGAAGAAGAAGAAAATAAAAATAAAACCCATCTGCTCCTCTGCATACCGGATAATAATCTCAGCTGTGTGCTCCGGTAACGGCCCTGTATGATTCTCCAGCGCTCCGAGCACCCGATCCTTCATATTCTGGGCAATACTATCGGGCCGTCGCCAGTAGGTAGTCTCGGTGGCCACGGACACCTGGATCGTCTTTCCATTCTTCGCAATCGTGCCAATGACCGCTTTTTTGAAGATGTGGTTGTGCGACATCTTGAGGATGGGATTGGTGGAAGCTTGGAGCTGGTTCGGGACTGGGGTGCGTGAGTGTAGATTTGGATAGGGCTGGGCGTTGAGAAGCAAGAAAGACGAGTGCTCGCCAGACAACATCGGATGGAGGTTATATATGTCGTGCCGTGAGAGTGAACATGTTCTTTCGTTATCAACTGCTGGGGATGGTCCAGAGTCCTTGAGGTAGCGGGCCTCGAAGCTTGGAGCGGAAGTTACTGGGATGGAGGAATTGGTACATTATAGGAGGTAAACTTGGTCTGGCCACCCCAGGCTCTGTGCTTTGAATGTCTGTCGATTTGGCCCATCGGGCCAAATCGCAAAGGTCCGAGCAAGCGATGGTAGAGAGTCTGGAGCAGTAGCGCCCACTTGTGTGGACCTGGAGACATAGCTTCTGGCCTCTTGTTTTTCGATAAAACCCCACGAATACCACAAGGTCTCCGAGGGATACGGATAAACATGTAACTCAAACTGGTCAAGACAGAAGCCGGGCTCTCTCTACGGTTTGCTTGTCATTCAGGTGTCTTTAGTGCTAGTTCTGGCAGCTTGCTGACCGCTATGACTTGGTACGTTGACCCTCTGTCGATAGATGGACTGATCGGCGCATTTGGTGGAGTTGTCCGGTATGGCCAGACGAAGGGCTAGCGATAGTAATAGATCTGAACAAAAGCATTAATTGCAAATCCTTCATAGCCACAAAAGCGCCCTGAAGGACAACGGAACCAAGGAGTTAGTGGATCTACCGTGGCTTCCTAGCAAATTTGCAGCCATGGTCGAGAGTTCTTCCTCCCAGGTGCTCAAGGGCCGTATCTGATATCAGTAACTGACTCACCAGTCCAAAAGGCCAATTTGATCAGCTGCTCTTAGGGGAGAGTATACCACAACATACATCGCTCAAACAATGTGTCAGCTGATCTGCCCCAAGGCCGTACGTACGTCGCGTCGCTGACCCACCCCTGTAGGTTCCATAATACCTTCAGCCCTGGACAAGAATACTACAGCCCCTTCACATGCATCACATTCAAGTGACCCGTGCAACAAGGAATAGTAGAAAGATTGATTTCGAGGAATAGAAGGAGGATTGTATGAGACATCCCATGAAAAAGAGCCTAAACCCGATCAGGTATACTCCAGTAGATCCCAGGCTAATACTAGATAAGGGATCAGGCTGCTGTTACTGCATAGTGGGGGGCTAGAGCCCGCCGTACATGTATGACATCCAGGCGCCCGAACCCCGCCAACTACCCCTCCCCGTTGCCCCCTCCCACCGGCTCACCATAACTCACAACCATTTTGTGCTATATCTAGGTATGTGTCAGTCTCGCTTTGTCCCAAGGATCAATGGACTCATCTTGCAACGATGTAGCAAGGCAGGTCATGGCCTCCGCTCTCCCGGATAAAGTCAAGAATGTCATCACGGACATGAGAGAGCGTATCCAGAATAAAATGGCGGTCCGGATCAAACAAGACACAAAGGGATGGGAGTATGGGGGCCCGGCGCTCAAAGAATTGGCGCTTGAACTCAAGGACCAATTGAACAACGAAGGATATGATGTGGGTGACGCTTGTGCTGATCGGGAATTTCGCTTACACTAAATGAGGTCCGCGGGTGTACGGTATGGCATTTCCTTCGGGGCGCAAACATCAAAAATCCCACCAAAGGCTTGATCCTACTGTTGATCAGTGGCGAAGCGACTCTTTCCCCCGGCGGAGCTCTGACATTGGAACGCCTCTCCTACATCAAGGACGAACCTTCTCTATTAACAGGTGCAAACGGTGCCGATGTGGTCTTTGTGGTGATAGAGCCAGACGGGGAAGCAAAGACATCAGATGCATAAACAGCTACAGAACTGGACACTAGGCTGATCGAGTGGTAAGCTAAGCGAGCATGGCATTTCTCCCCCCTCACCCGCTCACGGTTGAGTAATCGTCAAAGAATGCTAGGTAGTAATGGTTACCGGGCCCGTGTCTTGAGGAAGGCGGCTGTGATCATGGTCGAGGAAATATGGCGGATCGGTGAGGATGTCATTAATGTGTGCATCGGGGCAAAAGTTCTCAAGAAAATCAGTGGCTGCCAGAACAGGGTTATCGAGGCATTCAATGGGGAAAAGATCCAGCAGCCCGGTAGTTGGATGACGAGGAAAATGCTGGCCGACACGGGTAACTGATCCATCCAGATAGTTATCAGGGCCAGGAGTGTCAAACTCCAGATTGTCGGTTGGGTGCACGGCACACTCTGTCGGTGATGCAGAGCGGAATGGCTCATCGGCAGCATCTTTAATCCGCTGCCGTTTCCTCTTGCGATTTGAGGATGCCGAATCATCGAGAAGCCCCCTTTTCACCGACGACGCCGTAATAATTCGTTCTATTAGCGCATCAGGACTGGTATGATAGAAGGATCCACGGGTTGTCCCACCTTTGTATAAACGTTTACATTCTTGGACCCACTTAGACCTGTCAGCGGCCAAGTCACACAAGCCCTTGGACTGTTTCAGTCTCTCTGACAAGAGAGGAAGGGCTGGATAGGGCAAATCACGAAATAGGGAGTAGACAAAGAAAAACAGGATTGAAGCGCCAGGATTGCCATATAACTCTTCAAATACCCGATGTTTGATGCCATGCTGGATCGCTTTCCGAGCCGTTTCCCTATTTTTGTACTGCGGATTGGTAGCGACGTATTTCTCGACGTGGAATTGTCGGTCGGATGAAGACAGATCAGCCGTCAATGCCTGTACCCGGGAAGGTCTGGAGGTTTCTTTCTCCCATGAGATATATCGATCAGCCATCAGACACCGACCCAAGCCTGCCTTGAACTTGACGTCAAGGGAAGTCTGCTTCGATGCCAACTCAATATCAACAATACACGGATCCTCTCCCATCCAATCGGTTTTACTAGAAGTCACCACCGACACTGACGAAGCGAGATAGTCTTTGATCTTTCCCATTTTCCTTTCTAATGCGGCAAGGATGGTTGTTATCCTCTGTTCGACCGTCTGGATGCTTTCTCTTGTCTTTCTGATGGAATGGTTCCCTCCGCGTACATTTCCCGCCGTGGAAACACGGAGTACCTCGGACTCCGCCGAGGACGAAACACATAAACCAGCAGACGCTTGAGGAAATTCGGTCCCGGTAGATGCATCCGGTCTGACTGTGGGGTTCCTATGGTCAAGAGTACTGGTACTCTGTATCCACGAGTCAAAACGAAGTGCATGTAGACGCCAAGCCAGATGAAAGAAAAGGAATCCGCTCTGGTCAATGGGTGCTTACAGACTCCGATCCATTGCTCTCAGCGGCAGCTATGGAGATGTCATGATCAGATGTACCAATACCATTGTGGCTGCTCGTGCTACCATCCTTCAAAAGTCTCTGGAGGTTACTCAACGCGACCTGTAACTCATGACGATGAGGCAGAAGATCGCATAAATGCACGTCTGATATATCAGAAAGAAGTGCTGCTGCTTGCAAGACCGACTGAATCGAGGCCATTATATTATGCCCTGCTGGAGGAAGGAGCAAAAGCAGGCGCAGCTTGATATAAAAGCAACAGCGACAGCCTTGTGGCTTTAGGCGCCTATTCTGGCCCGTCGGGCCAGAGCGACAGGGGTGCTTCTGAGCCATCCGAAGGACGTGGCGTGGCAGAGTTGATCGACAGCGGCGCCTCACCCGCCGCATAACTTTGAGCTCCTTTGAACCCCGACTGGTTCGTTCAGAGTCACATTTGCGAGGCTTACTAGCTCTATGAGAAGATGGACTTTGGTGTCTTCGTGCCTCTTCGACATTGCGGACTGCAGGAAGGCTTTGACAAGTAACCCCGCGGGAGTGCCGATCTGCAGCACCATCGGATCCTAGGAAAGATCGCAAATAGTATGAGAGGGATAGCCCAAATGATACCTTCAGACGCAGCTCTATCGCGGCCAACTTCACAGGGAATGCTCGGAGTGATTGGCTGTCGCATCCAAAGCCGTTGCAGCCGTTGCAGCCGTTCAACGGCTAACTATGCAACCCGAGTCACCCGGCATGGGTATCCGTCCGCCGGATGGGTGCCGGCTTTCTCAGTCTGATAGGCCCTCTCTCCATTTACCAGCTTAGGCTTCCTATCCTGGAATCCCATCGCTCGAGCGCATCTACCAATCAGCCCTTGCTGCTCTGACTTCATCGCATCCCACTCATCGTACGCCGGCCTAATCTCAAATGTCCGGGCAGTCATCACCAGAACCACTCTCATTTCATTATTTACGAGGGTCTGACCGATGCAATTACGGGGTCCTTGCTCAAACGGGCGATACGCCGCCGAATCGGGATAAAGCTCATGGCCTGCATCGACGAGCCACCGCTCGGGCAGGAATTCACTTGCTCGGGGCCATATTCTGGGGTTGTGATGGATTGGTTGGTGTAAGACGACAATGCTGATGTCATCCATCAAGGGATACGGATTACCATGTCTATCGGTTAGGGAGAGACCGTCGCTGCCTTGGCGCATCGTACCTGCGGGAGGGTAGAGGCGTAGGGTTTCCTTGATCACTGCCATTGTGTATGCGCATTGGTTGAGCAGTGTGGGCTGTTCAAGGAGGAGTTGTTCTGCCGCAGAGGGATCTTGACCAAAGACTTGGTCATGTTCCTGCCGGACTCGAGTCAAAGCTTCCGGGTGTTGTGCCAGGAGATGATACACGTAGGCAATGCTGCTGGCGGTGGTATCAGTTCCAGCAAAGAGGAACAGTCGAATTTGATACGTCACATATTCTGCAAAGTGGTCGTCCAGCTGGGTGGCTTGCGAGATCTTTTCGTTTTTATTTTCTAGGTACGCCTCCAAGGCTAGCGTGATAATAGATTTGGCTCGCTTAGTACCAGAACCCGAGTTCCGTTGGTCTTGCTTCATCTCGGAGAATCGCTGGTTCAGTGCTTTGCGGATCCACGTGTTCATGACCCGGCCGTAGTATCGCTGAATAAACGGCCGCAGTGGATGTGCCAATACACGAGGATCCCAAAACGAGTGCCATCGGGTGATATGCCCCAGGGCGGTTGCAATGACATTATCGGAGTTCTGATGATCCAGGTCCGCGTCGCTGCATCATTAGCAAATTCTATATATTGCACAGGAAACTTACAGGGTCACTTTCAGAATGACATCCATCGTCAATCGCGTCGTGAGGTCATCCAAGGCGAACAACTCTCCAGCGTGCGCTTTTTCATGCAGCTTGTCACAGAACACCCGAACCGACTTGATCACTTCGGGGAGAAGATCTTGCATGCTACCTGCGCTGAATCCTGGATTGAAGATAGATCGCCAAGCCTTCCATTCCGTGTTTCCCATCGAGATCATACTAGGCCCGCCGGTAATCGGCCCCATGAACCGGGGCTGTATGACGGTTTTGGGGAGATTCAATTTAGTTGTCGCCTGCGATGCTGCTTCTGGATAAAACACCAGGTACTGGGCCGGCGAAACAGGCCATACATCGAGAAAAAAAATCTCCGTGTCGGTGAATTCTGCTGCCAACTCTTGCGTGGCCAGTGCCACGTTGGCGTCAGCAGGCAGACGATTGACATAGTCGGATAGGACGAGGATATGGCCTGTTAGCCAATTCCATCCTTTTGGCATGGGCTACAAAATGTTATTAACATAGCGATGAGGGAGCATCGATCTTACAATGCCTTGTTTGCGGAGCTGGTTGACTCTGGAGCGGTGTTGGTAGAGCGCATAGAGACCGTACGCGAGGGCGCTTACAAGAGGTAAGCCGAGCGTTATGAGGAAATTAGTAAGAGCCATTGCGCTGGATGTCCCTCACTTCGACGAGCAGAAAGGGAGAGGAGGAAGTGTTGAGCAATGAGGCGGTGAATACCTGACAGGGACCGGAGTGATTGTCCGCCCCACGTGATGTACACCCTGGTTACTGACTCGTCTATAAATGAACAAGAGCGACTTCAACAATTCTGCGTCCAGTTAAGCACCGCCTGGTTGAATTGGAACACCCTATTTCACGATTTCATTCATGTGCAGGCAACAAATGTCAAGCGGGCTGAGCATTGTGCTGACTGCATCCCTTGCGTGAGGTTCATTCCGGAGCACCAGCACTGGTATACCTTGCAGTTGGCACCTCGAGGCTGGCCGATGACCCATGAGAGATATATTCACTGCCACTGGCTAGTCCAGGTGAGACAGCGAAGCACCTTGATAGTAGAGACATACGGCCGCTGCTTCACATGTCAGTTATATCCCGGCGAAGTGGACTCACCGGAAGCAACAGACAAGCATACAGTGATAGCTGTCGGTTGGTACGAGATGGCATAGCCTCGATGGCAGCTCACCCATATCAGTCTGAGATCAGACTCAAAGACTGAGACTATCCATGTCTGCGGCGACCACCCACCACCCACAGGTAACGGTACTCTCGGGGGCTCATCCAGATAGCCATAACCAGCAAATGATGTGCTGGAAATACCTGCCATACGAAGGAATGACATACCCAACCCCGCACATTATAAGAATTGAAGCGCGACTTCAAGCCACAGCATCTCAAGGCACCCCTTGGCCCCTTGCATATTCTGATGCGGCGATACCGTCCGCGTGAGTCGACGATATGCAGTCATCCCAAAGTATGTAGGAGTCCTCCTAAGCCCGACTGCTCGATGCCTGTGCAACCCAGGTCGACTGCTGACTTACATAAAGTGGTTCTGTCAATGCCTTCACTCATCACCAAAGTATTCATGCATTGCATTCAGCTATCAGGCTTGGCTGCAAAATGACCGGCTCGTCCCTGGCCACCGAGAGCGACATCTCGCAGGAGCTATCAGTAGACAAGATTGGTCGGATCACCCAATCGCAGTACGCGGTAAGGCTAGCCCAGGGTCTTATAGAAAACTCTAACGAACCATGAAATAAGATCGCGATTGGCGTCTTCTTCGGCATAGCAGTACTCTCATTTCTCGGCCGCATTTTCATCCGCCTCTTCACCCGGCGACGGCTGTATCTAGATGATGGACTGCTAAGCTTTGCATTTGCCACATTGCTCGCAGGGACAGTCCTTGGCTACCTCCGTGCCTATATCATATACACCGAGCTGGCCGCTCTGGAAGGAGATATCACTGCCATTCTCGTCATCGGGTCGAACCTCTCGGCACATGCCCAGGATTTCGGCTACAACATCGCCTTTATCGGTCTTCTCTGGACAACCGTGTTTGCCGTCAAATGGTGCTATCTAGCATTCTTCCACCCATTGCTAGTGGGCATGTCGCGGTGGTTCATCTACTACTACCGCTTCACGATCGGATTATCCCTCGTTTCATGGATTCTCAGCGCCTTCGTTGCACCCATCGTCCCATGTCCATACACCGGCATGAAAGCCGTCCGTGAGTACTCACACCCCAATACCAACCCTCACTAACCCACCTAGTAAAATGCTTCCCGACTCTACCCGTATCCAACAGCACCATGCTCGCCATGATCTGGCTGCCCCCAATCCTGGACGCCCTCACTGACCTGATGAGTACATCATCCCTCCTTACCAGAAATTAAATCCAACTAACCCCCCCCCCCCCCCCCAGTCATCAGCATCCCCATCCGCCTCCTCTACAAAGTCCAAGTCCGCACCCTCACCAAAATCGGCCTCGGCTGCTTCCTCTGCCTCTCCATCTTCATGTGCGCATGCTCCATCATCCGCACCGCCGGCACCTGGTACCACGGCTTCCTTGACTACCCGTGGCAAGTCTTCTGGCTGCATCTGGAGGGGTGTATCGGGGTAACCATGGGGTCGATTACCGTGTACCGATCCACCCTGATCGGCTCAAGTGAAGTCTCCACGGCATTCAAGAAATATCTCACCCGGATCAAGGATGCGGTGCTGGGGTCGTCGAGTGAGGCATCGGTGCCGCCGGAGGAAACTAGAACTAGGACTCAGACGCGTCGATTCGGGTTGCCATCGATTCCACAGGCTACTCTGACCGGATTAAAGACTTGGTTTGGGCGGTCGAAAAGGGAAGAAACAAGTACCAATGATGTCTCGGGGATTACCACCTTTGGGAGTGAGGATATTGATTATCATACCTTGTTGAAGGCTCCAAAGGCGACGGCGGATGCGAGTCATGGGGTGGAAAGGAGATAATACCTTATATTCTTGAGATTAGCTAGATTTAATCATGTTTTCCTGCTGCGTGGAGATTCGTATCATAGATCCCGTACAGTCTGAGTGTAACCCTAATCCGACGCATTGCCACTCCCGTGGGCGCCGAATGCAATTAGGTCTGATCATATACTTCAAGGTTAGCTCCCATGCTTGAGAATCTGGTTCCCTTCGCATCTTGAGCATGATCTGTGTAGACGACACTGTGAAGTAGGCTAAGCACACGTAACGTGTGGCGGTAAACGATTACTGAGCTTGATTTTGCTGGGGTGCGGGATATACTCGAGGTTTTGATCTATCCCATCCTAATTCCAACCTAAGCCCAACCTCATCGATCATCATCTGAATTCAAGACTAGCAGGTACAGTACCATTCCTCCTAAAGACATGAATAAGCCTCTCCCATTTCTCACGAGTCTGTTCCTCAACCCGCCTCCTTCCCACGCCCAAAACCCCAATATCAATCATCTTCCGGCTCTATTCCACATTCCGGGTTAATAAGTATATCTCAAGAGAAGGCAGCAACACATGCAGTCCAACTTACATCAAACACCGCAACCACCCGCCTCACCTCCTCGAGGGCCAAAAACCACTCCGCTTCCCGAACCGTCACCCGAACAAAACATCCAACCGAGTAAACATAATCCTGTTCCCGCCCCGGCATCCCATCCTGGATGATACTCACCCCCCGCACACAATCCAACCCCCGATGTACCGCGATTCCCCGCAACCGCGTACGAATCTCCCATACGACTCGAATCCCGGGGTAGGGCCAATCGGCCTGCGCATCGTACCCGTTCGCGTACGTATCCACTGTTGCGGGTTTCGCGCCGGGGGTGGTATACCCCAGCATGGCCGGGGGACGATCATCGAAGATGAATTCCATGCCCGTGATATAGACTTCGCCGATGTCTTGGAGCACGGAGATGGCGATTTGGCGGAGCGATGGGCCGAGGTTGACGGATTCGAGATGCATGTCGCGGTAGGTGGTGTGGTGGTAATGGTGGAGGGCGTTGCCGCGGAAGGCGAGCGGGGGGGTTCGGCCTCGGTGGATGGCTACTGCGGTGTCGCGGAGCCAGCGCAGGGCTTCCCAGGCGTGAATCTCGAATTGGAACCATCTGCTGCAGGTGAGTTTGCAGGTGCTGTGGTAGAGGAGTCTCCAGTCAAGGGATTGGCGGCGGGGTGGGGTGAGTTGCTCGATCACGGGGAGGAGGAATCCGCGGTCTCCGTTGATGGTGAATCGAGATCGCCAGAAGGGAAGGCTGGAGAAGAGGGGCGTGGCGGCACGGGATGCCTGGCGGAGATGGAGCATGTCTCGGGTCGGCAGGAGTGTTCCGATCATTTCGATGATTTCCAGCGGGAGTCGTTGGCGATGATTCATTCGGGGAGGTGGGAGGGTCGGTTGGTTTGTGGTCGTGGCTAATGGCGTAGGGGGGTTTTTTGCAAACCGCATGAGCTCGTCAAGGGAGGGGAGGCCGAAATGGCCATTGCGGACGGTACGGTCGTGTTCGTGGGGATGGTACCATGGCAGACACTCTGGGCTGGTTGGTAATTCTCTCGCGGGCCATAGACGGCCTCCCACGGGAAATGGTAAACATTCTAAGGCCTCGTAGAGACAGATCAGAGGGACTTCCTCGGGGCTGAAGTGTTGCCAAAGACGATGCCAGCAGAGATCGTGAAACAGATACAGGTCGGTCTTCTCGTGGGAGGGCATCCCACCGGTTTCCCAGATCTCAGACTCGTCAGGGATTCGGACGTTGGGTCTGGTGGATAGGCTTGAGACCACTTGGGTCACTTTGACCCCGGTTGCGGTGCAGTACACTGTGCAATCAGTGATGGGCAATCAGGTAAGCGTGTTAGGACTTGCCTGCTCGGAACTGTTTGGTCCATGGTTGATCACTGACCATGCTAACGCCACATACCATGCAAAATGGACACTCACTGACACAGGGATCCATTAGCATTGCCGAGAACATTGTGATTGGCAGGAGATGTGTGTTTATGTGAGATTCATGATTCGAATGCCCATCAGAGTATGAAGCCCCCTCCGTTTATATAACGGGTAGGTTACATGGATCGCAGTCATATGACGCACTCTGCTGGCCTGTATGGAACGAAGTCCCGAAGTGCTACATGTCCGGACCATACACAACCCTGAATCAGTGCTGCATCAACAATCAACAGCCGTTCTGCCCACATTATCGTCTGTACGTTGCCATCGAGGCACAGAAATTAGACAATATTCCCGTCAACATAGATCAACTCAGCCGGAGACCAGTCACCGACAACCAACCCACAGGGAGGGTGAGATATGTGCAACATATATGTCCGGCGGGGTCTAGTCCCATTATGCAATAATAGCAGGGATTTAGTACGATGGTGTACCGCATTGGGGTTAGGAGGTTCTACAATCTGTATATTTCTCGGAGTTATACATCTTGCGATTGCTTGTTACGCTTACCACCCCAATGGAATGCATCTGAAGGGGCGGTGGTATTTCTGTCCAGGGCCGAAGGGATTAAGGCAACTACGATATCTCTCAGTCACCCTAGGGCAGATCAGCGGACATGAATTTATATGTACTTCTCGTACAAAATAGTATATCCGTGGGGTTGTATTGTGGAAAAAAAAAGTAAAAATAAAGGAAGAAAGAGAGAGGCGAGGCCATCTCACAATGTCCACCCAAACAGATGCTCCTGCTCCAGAAGCCTAGCATCGCTTGATCGGATGTTTGCGATTGGATCCGATAGCCAAAGCGACGGTGATCCAAATCACAGGACCTGGGAGTATCAATGAGATCTCTCTCCTAGAAGGTGTCTATACCTCCATCATAACCATATGAATAGAAAAGAATAAGAATTGCTATTGACATCCGAGCCGGTCTATTCTTTCCATCTCAAGTCAAAGCGTAATCAAACATATCCCAACTCACATCCCATAGTCACTGTGCCACCCTCGCAACAAGCTCCTGTGAACTCGCGCACCGCCTCGCTCCCAACCCATGACAATCATCACAAATAGCAAGACGTTCGAGACAACATTCCCCGATACAGGTATAGAACCCCTTGCCTTGGGGGATAGGCAACGTGCAGATATCGCACCATGCGCCGGATTTAATACTCGACTTTTTGTCGTGGAGTTTCTGAGGGACGGGGCCGGGGTCGATGAGTTTAATGCCCTTGGTATCCGCATGGGTGAGGAGGACTTGTTCGATGACAGGATAGTCATGTCTCCGGGCCCACCAGAGGGGCGTTTGGCCGATATAATCTGGAGAGTTTAATTCCGTGGTATGTGAGTGAGTGAGGAGGAGCAAGCGGAGGAGACCTTCGTGGCCTTGTTTGACGGCTACGTGGAGGAGAGTGGAGAGGTAGATGTCGTGGGAGGTTGGTTGGCAGCCATAGGAGAGGAGGAGGATGGCGAGGTGTTCGTGGCCGTGGACGGCAGCGAGGAAGGCAGGGTTTCGACCGAAGATGTCGGTTGTGTTGAGGTCGAGGTTGTGGGTGTTGAGGAGGAGGTAGACGATGGCTGTGTGGTTGGATGCGAGGGCTAGGGTGAGGGGGGTGCTGCCGCTGGTGTCTTGGATGTCGAGGGTGGGGTTTCGGTTGAGGAGTTGTTGGACGATGTTGGTGTGGCCGCCGGCACAGGCCCAGTGGAGGGCCGTTCGGTTGTGTTGGTCGGGGCGGTTGATGTCGATGGGAATGACGAGGAGGGAGGTTACGACTGCTTCGTAGCCTAGTTCGGCGGCGACTGAAAGGGCTGTTTGGCCGTTTGGGTGGAGTTGGGAGACGGTGTTGGGTGATTTCTTGATTAGTGTGGTGACGACTGCTTCGTGATTGCCTCTGACTGCGAGAAGAAGTGCCGTCCAGCCATGGATGGTCTTGTGCTCTGGGCTGGCCCCGTGGGTTAAGAGTAAGTTCACCACCCCGTTGTGGCCGTTTCGGGCAGCCCTCATTAGGGCAGTCCATCCATCATTGTTTGGCAGGTCGATATTGGCGCCATGGTCCAGGAGCATGGTCGCCACTTCTTCATAACCAGCTGCGGCTGCAATGGATAGTGGAGTGTTTCCGGATTCTGTTTGGTGATTGATATTAACGTGATGTTGAAGCAATTGTCGCACCACACCGGGGTAATTCCCTTGTGCGGCAAAAGAGAGTGATGTATAGCCCGTGCTGTTGACATGTCCTGGATTGGCGTCACATTCTAAAAGTATCCGAACCACTTCTTCATGACCGTCCGAAGCGGCTGCTAAGAGGGGTCTCCAGTTCGTTTGGTCCTCACACTCGATGTTGGCATGGTTCTCTAGTAACAGCCTGACCACCTGTGCATGGCCAGCGATCGAGGCCAGTAACAGTGGTGAAGAGCCGCCGTCACTACGAGCATTTATATCCGCGCCATGATGGATCAGAAGCTCTACGACCGATGGAAAACCTTCCAAGGCTGCTTCGCAGAGTGCCGTCCTGTCATACTGGCTGTCTTTTGCATCCACCTCAGCGCCATGCTCCAGCAGTAGCCGTACGACTCCTTCATGTCCATTGACAGAAGCTTTGTTCAGCGGGCTGCGGTGGTATGTTGAGTCAGTGGCATTGGCATTAGCATGTCTGTCAAGTAACCGCTGAACAACCTGTTCATGGCCATGCTCGGCAGCGAATATAAGCGGCGTGAACTGTGACTGTGTATCCCTAGCCTCAATATCGGAGCCTTTGTCGAGAAGCAGACTGACGATCTCCGCATACCCGTTAAAGGCAGCCAGAATTAGAGGCGTGGAGTGATAAGCCGCATCCCTCGTGTGAACATCAGCATCGTGATCGAGAAGAAGCCGAACGACGGCGCTGTGCCCTCCCCCTACTGCTCTGGAAAGGGGAGTCTGGCCGTATTGAGCATCCTTGGACTCGAGATCGGCTCCATTCTCAATGAGAGACTTTACTGCAGACTCGTGTCCTTTTTCTGCTGCCAAGAAGAGAGGGGTGTAACCGTATCCAGCATCGGTGACGAGGTTGATATCGATGCTCTGTCTCAGAAGGATTTCCAGTACTTTGTCCAAGTCCCACGCTGCAGCCATATGAAGGGGGCTGAAGTATTTGGGAAACTTGGTGTACCAGCCTTCACCGTGTTGCTCGAGGGTGTAGTCCAGTTGAACGGCAGACATCATCTTGTTGGGACTGTTCAGCCATCGCAGGACTGGGTCCATCAGTTCCGGTGGTTGACCGCACCTTTTGATATGTTTCCCCCATGATATCGAAGTATATTCAATGAACGGATATTTCTCCAATCTTGTAATGACTGCATCCTCCGTATCACAAGGTCCCGCTTCAAACACGTCGAACGAAAGATACGTAAGGCAGATTGTAGTAAAGTCAATCTCCCCATGAGGAAAGAGATCCTTTTGAACAGTTTCCAAATACTCCTGCAGGGTGAAGTGCACCAAGCGGACACAGTTACTCTCTTCGTCAATGACAATAAGACCAGCACAAAGATTGAGGATAATCTCTGGCTCTGAGAGAGCCGTCTCATCGATGTCGATATCACCCAGTTCAACAGCCAAGGCATGAAGTAACTCGTTCACACGCAGTGGCTTGGTTGCAAAGAACACGTATGACAGCGCCTTCATCCCGAACTCTGCGTCAACAGGGCTCTGCTCTTGGATCCTGGAGATAGCTTCTTGATAGGTAGCGGAGATACCGGTGGGAGATGTTTCTAGACTTTTTCGAATCGATCGCGGACTTTGTTTGGCGAGGCTGGTCATTTGAAGATATGCAAGAAGGAACCTGAGACAAGTCAGCACTGAGTTGATATCACGACGATTTATGGCTAATGAGATAAAGCACTTACATCCCTTTGGCCTTCGTAGTGATACCCTGTATGATCTCCCCTTTGAGTGGTGGATCTCGCGCGATCAATCTAGCCAAGCCCGTGTCTCTATCAATCTCGGACAGTAGGTACTCTTTGATATCCGACTCTCGAGTCACTATTTCAAGCCTTGACATGTGGGTAAAGTACGAGTCAAGATCGACATGCGGGCGGGAGGTGATGAAGATGTGCATAAATCCCTGCAATCTTTTTAAATACCAGAGGAATTTATCCCGATTGTCTTTGGAACACTCATCCTAGTCCCTGGTCAGATTCGTATTTGCAGAGTCTCTGCATAATAACCAGACACGCGAAGCAGAGAGACATGAGCAACTCTACTTACAAGGGCATCAATAAAAATATAAACCCGAGAAAAATGAGTAACAAGAGACTTGATGACCGACAGACGATCCTCGTTAGTAACAGCTCTTGTCTTCAGCTTTTTCTTCTCGTGAAAGAGTTTCAACTCTGGCGGCACTATCTGTAGCTGCTCTGCGAGCTGCTGGGATAAGCTTGAAATAAGTTCTCCGTCGCTTTTCGTCATTGGATCTTTATAGTCGCAATAAACATAGGCCACTGCACTGTTCCCGGAACAAACCTGCTGGATGTGATCAACCGCAACGGACCTGAACTTGTCTTAGGCTTCTTGAAAGGAACGATTTGATGTTCGACTGCGGGAACTACTTACGTCAATACAGTCTTGCCGGTACCAGCTGGAGTTTTCCATTAGTTTACGATGCAGTAAAAGGTGTTATAATGACTCACCAGTCCCGGTACACCAGAGAGTAGTGCATTTATCTCCGTGGAACCATTGTTGGAACTCTTCACTATCTAGGAGCCACTGCCCAGTATTTGGATGGTGCTTTGCAAGGACATCATGGTGTTTATCATGGAAAGTGACAGAGGAGAGCGATTTCAGAATATTATCGCGTTCCGAGGCGACTGCATTGCGTGCCTCTTTGTCTTCCTGATCTATTCATCGTTAGCCACGACACTCGTGGCTATGGATCAGTAGAACAATCATGACACGTACCTTCAAGATACTGATTCACCCGTTCAGCATGCGTGACTATCGTCTCCGTCTTCTGTTCTGTCCGTGTAGAAATTGCCAAATTTCGTTGCAACTCCACCAACATCGCATTTCTCACAGCGATATTCTCATTCTCAATCGATCTATGAAACTCCGCGTATGCAGTCCGCAATTCACCATCCTCCCCTCTGACCAGGTTCTTGAACCCTTTGACTATAGAGCGGTAGGTATTAGTGATAACTGTCGCTAACCCATGAAACCACCAATGATAGCCAGTGACGATAACTCACGAAATCGATTCTGGCGCGTATATTTCACCGACACGCCACAAAGCACCAACACGGATGTAAGAACTCTCGCAAGCGCAGCATGCAACTCCGGCATAGGGGGAATATAACCCTCCAGGATCTTGAGCTGGCTGAGATATTGATCCAGGTCTTTGAAGAAGTCATCGAGGGTGTCGTAGTCGGATGACACGGATTTGGCTGTCTACTGGATATCAATATCTGACAAAATACGAAACTGAGAAATGATTCTGAGTCATACCTTGAGCAAATAAGACACCGCAGAAAGTATCACCGTACTCGGCGCAAAAGCCTACCCGTATCCAATCAATCAGCCAAACTCCAACCAACCCAAAGGCAACACCCACAAGTGATGCGGCCCCGCCAACAATTTCCCCAACAGCCTCCACAGTCCCCAAACTCTTGCCAATCACCGTACGCAGCTTATCCAATTTGCCATTATCATGCCGATGAAGCCGAAAGCGGGACGCGGTTTTCCGCGTCTGCCGCAATACTCCCTCGACATTGGTGACTGGTTCCAGACTGCTGATTTTCAGGTCGGTGAGTTGTTCGTAGCGATGGATGGCGTCTTGCCAGATAAGGCTGATGTCGGTGGGGGTTGTTGCTGGTGCTGCCCGTACTGCCCGGGTTGGTAGGGTTAGAGCGGCCATGGTGCCTGGATGGGTTGGACGGACGGGCTTATCGGGGTTTGGAGGCTTATATGGGAGATTGGATTGATAAGGGAGGCTGGGGAGGCTCAGCCCCGCGCTTATGGTTTCACATGACACTGTAGTTGACATGCGAGGCTGAGGATTAAAGGGGAATTGTTAGCGAGCATGGTGATTGGCTACGTTTACTCTGTAGTCCACCAATCAGGGTGAGATATATATACCACTTGAATATTGCAGAAGTGAGTTCTGTTGAAACACTCGATTTGTCTAGTCTATGGTCAAACATGTGCTACTCGAAGCTACCCCAACCACAACATACTCAGCACCTCACTGTCGCGAAACAGTCGTCTCAAAATCCTCCGGTTCCCGTCCCAACAGCTCCTTCAACAGAGGATCCACGTATGCCCCCTCCCCACGGCGAAAAGCCTCAAACGTCGAAGTCCACAGCTTAGAATGATCCATCCCATGGTAGGTGAAGTTCTGCTGATTCTGCGGAAGAGCAGCAAACTCGTCCTGCGTGATGGTCTGGATCTGAACCAGCCGCTTGGCCACCTTGCTCAAGATCTCCACACTCTCTTTCAAGGTCAGTGTCTTCCCACCCGTGAACAAGACTGTCCGCCCACGGTACTGGAACTCATCAGGATTCTTCACGAAGCGGGCGATAAGTTCGGCGGAACCCTCCCCGAGCTCCTCGCGCTTAACCCAGGCGATTCCAGGACCGGATCCATCGTGGGGGATCTTGATCGTGCTCGACGGGCTGGTAGGGTCAAAGAAGGAGGTGTAGAGAGGGTAGGACTCGGAGTAGAGGCCCTCGCGGATGACGGTGTACTCGAACCCGGGGTGCCGACGGGTGCATTCATCTAGATACCGTTCGGTATCTAGATGGGCCTGCATGACATGGGCGACTGACTCTTTGCTTTCGGGAGGCCCGCCGTATCCTAAGGAACCGTAGAAGATGTATTTGACGCCGCTGCGGATTGCCGCGTCAATGGCGAGTTGTTGGCGCTGTGTATTCCATACATTAGCGGGGATCCAAGGCAGATGAATTGTGTGTGTGACGTACCTTGGCTCGATATTCATGTTCGACGGAAGCGTACGAGATCAAGAAGAGGGTGTGAACTCCATCAAAGGCGTGTTCAAGGTCGCTATCATTGTCGTAATCGGCCTTGCGGATAGTTGCCCCTGCATTGGTCTCGGCCGTCAATTTTTGAGGATGGCGAGCAATAAAGATAAGGTCTTCTGCTTGAAGACGAGGAAGAAGGTGTTTGACAGTGCCGCCTCCGATACCTCCAGAGGCAGGAAAAACTGCAACGGTGTGGGATGACATGTCGGCAGGTGTTATGACAACTGAGTGACCAAGTTTAGGATCTTGATGCAACTGAGAACCTCGTCAACCCTGTGCCAAACGTAGTCTTTTATAATTGCTTCATATCTTGATTTGTCAGTCAAGCTCCAGGCCTGTGTATGTCGTGACGTAATTGCCATGTGGTGCTGGAGCCGATTTTCCAGGATATCTCACTCATATCCGCAAGCAACTGCTCTTTACTCGAGCAAATTACTAATTAGCAGCCCATTGCCCCCCGTAGAGGCAAAAAAGGACACTTGGAAATAGAACAAGATGGGCGCACAGGGACCTTGCTTGCCCTAGGTCCGGCCCAGCATCCTCCACCGGACTCGGATCAGAAACACAGCATCCGTTCCGATTGGCTCACAAGTGGGTCTCCGCTGTCCACCGGACTCGGAGTCAGTCAGATGAATAAGACCGGAGAATGAGGGGTCGCACATACCAGACCTCTATAAAGCGAGGTAAACAAGTGAGGGGTCACCCAGTCATCCTGACCCGATTTCATTCTCCCACTTTGAATTCGTCACCTCGTCCCTCAAACCCTGCCAAAGATTTTTCAAGATGCCCTCTACTGCCCAAAGTCGACCGGACACGACAGCCGTTCCCTACCAGGGAGAGCCCCTCCCAAATGTTCCACAAGATCTGGTCATACCCAATGTCCTCAGCTTGGATTTTGACGAAATCCAATGGGTTCCTCAAGGTCCAAATGTCTGGTTTCGTCCTCTTGTCTTTTCAGTTTCACAGGGTTACTTTGTCAATCTCCTCCGCGTCCGCAAGTCGGGTATCCTATCCCGCCACCGACACACTGGTCCAGTCCATGCCACGACACTGCGTGGCAGATGGCACTATCTCGAACATGCCTGGTGGGCAACAGAGGGGAGCCACGCTTACGAGCCTCCCGGCGATATCCATACGCTCGAGGTGCCGGATGATGTCCAGGAGATGGTCACTCTTTTTCATGTTACCGGTGCCTACATTTACGTCGATCCGGAGGGAAATCCGCTTGGTGTGGAAGATGTTTTCTCCAAACTTGCGAGTGCGCGAGCTCATTATGAAAGTGTGGGACTTGGGGCTGGCTATGCAGATCGGTTCATTCGATAGTCCGTTGGTTATGCTTGTGGAAGCGTTATAAGCGCTGGTTTGTCTGGCTTTTGTACAGTTACTGAAGAATAATGAGTCTCCGCTTCCAAAATACCAGTTACTGCTCACTCGATCACGCACAATGGGGACGCACGGTATCTGTTTTAATGAGGAATACCCCAGTTCCAGACCCAGCCCTGGCCGCACAGAGGATCACCGAGAGAATTGGTACCTTGACTGACCACATCATTTTGTAGGCCCGAAGGATCCTCAACTACGTCGAGTGATGTCTGGAGGCCTGCTGAAGCAGAATGTGAACTCGTGTCTGTCGTGAGATGTGAACTCTTCCACAGCACTATATAAAATCAGCATTACAAAGTCACGAGGAATTGGAAGCAGAAATTGAAGGAGTGGTATACCTTGTTGTACGGACTCTAAGGCACTATCGATCCCGGTATTGTAGGATAACCCCTCCCAGTCAATGCCAAAATCGATGTCGGGAATGCTCGCCCCTTCGGGGTTGACATATGTTCTTGTCGGCTCACTTTGTGTAGCACCGAACTCTCCTGCTGCTTGAGATGGGTGGAGGTGCCTCGAGTTACTATCTCCAAACGGTGTGGGAAGTCCGGGCACTTCTTGGTCAGATGTTTGGTGATGGGTACCGGTTCTAACTGCCTCCATATCCTTCGGAGGGTTTCTTAGCATTGAGTGCATCTCTCTCGTAAAGATGAGCCTGAAAAGGTGCTCCAGAACCTTGACTGTCTGCAGCGGAACGATTGACGAGCCAGCCAGCATCTTCTGCAAGGCGATGGAGTTAGCGACGCCCCTCTTGGCATCCTGCGATTGTTCAGAACCGGGATTGGCCAGAGCGACCATCCCCAGTGTCACCCCGGCCGTGAAATTTTGAATCGCGATATAAGATACCGCATGTGTTGTTCGGGCAGCACGCAGAACGCTCTCGTATCGTGGCAGAATGTTACAGGTTCGACGCGCACAGTGACGGCATTGCTCAAAACTGGTAGGGCGCAGATCCGGCGGAAGAGGATCTGACGACCCAATCAAGCAATGGTTATACCGCAAGAATGGACGGTGCAGTATGATTTGGATATTATCATACGCCAGCTGCAAGGCGAGTGCCTGTAATTGGAACAGCTTGCATGTCTCAACGTCGTTCTTGTTAAGATGGGAGGTGTCCAAGTCCGCCATATGCTCCAGCCGCAGCTCTTGGGGGAGCTTATCGAACCATTTTGCCAGTCGGGTGTTGATTTCCGCTGCTTCATGGGTCACTGCCTGCGGGTTGCAGCTTCTCAGGCGATATATATGGCCAATGATTGGGGATGCAATAGAGTACAGCTGAAACTTGTGCCTGTGGTAGGTCATTAAGGTCACCTTGGTCGGCACCTGCCCATCAAGACTCTCGAAAGAGTTCAGCAAGGGATGGGAGGCGAGCGAGTCGTCCATATTCCCTGGCATATTCACGATATGGTCTGAGTCAAGGATTGAAAGTGGCCGTCCGTATGTAATAGATGCAAACCTGATAGTTTGTAAGGAACCAGTATGTTAGCCTTTTATGACATACACGGAACGGCAAGTGACACATACCTGTCCATAACTACCAATGCCCACCAGGTACGCCGGCGAACCTCATGCGTTATTTCATCTGCGGCCCCCCAGAGAGACTCGTTGTGAAGACCCAGTGCCTGCGCACTGCGAACCCCAGCACCCAGAATAGGAAAGGCTAAATTGGGTCTACCGTTGTACAAGTAGAAAGTACTGAGCAAGACGCAAATCTGAATAGATTCCACACCCCCAAGATCAAAAACATCAAACAAGTGGCGTTGAATGTGTTCTAAAAGATCCTTCTGAAGAGCCTTAAGGTCACCATGACGATCCCTCTCCTCAAGACTATCACATTCCGCCGTATATCGGGCTCCCATCGTGAGGACCATTAGTATAAGAACTGCAGTTCCCAGTTGCCGAGGCTCTATTGCTTGTTCGTCCATGATTTTCATGTACTCTTTCTCGAAGGTTGGCTGATGGAAGAGCATGATGAACCAATGTACCGAGGTTCGATAAGCGTCGACCAGAAAATCACAGCATGGTTTCGGTGGTAGGGATAACCCTGGGAACAATGTTGCGAACGGAATCATCGGCTGCTGTCTCTGGCGATTTGAGCATCGTACTGCAATTAGATTGGCGCCCGGCAGAGCAGTCGTGTTATCGGCTGCCACGGATGTGGGAATTGATCCGGGATCGTGGATTTGAAATAGCTACAGGAGCTTAGCGTTGAGACACCAAATGTTGCGAGACACTGGTTACCTCATCAGTCAATTCGATGGTAGAGACTTGCGTATGTCGGTATGGATCTGGGAAGGAGGATGACCGTTGATTGATCGTGTTATGCCCATGACTATCCGGTGGTTCCCTATCCAGAAGGCGTTCCTGTGGACTCTCCCTCCGAGGGGTTTTGGGTTCCCGAGGATTTGACCTGGCCGCCCTTCGGGATGGTTTCGACTTACTATTGAGTCCTCAATGCTGTCAGTTGCTATTGCGTTTGATTGAGATTTCTGACTCCGAACTCAGTCCACTCACCGGAGCGGGGCATTGGTCGTGACACAATCGAATCCCGAGCGAACGCAGAGGGAGCACGGTTTTTGAATGTCGCACTATAATAAACCAAGCCTTAAGACCCTCGATCCTTGCAGGGGGGGCGGCTTGCTCATTATGGCAATGAACATACCCTTAGCTTTTGCCTTCGACACCGATCACACGCATGCCGACGGGTCTTGGGCGTCCGGTCTGGTCCGGTCTGACCGGACCTTGGCGACGGTTGATGATCAGACGTCACATTCTGCATCATTCGTTTTGAACTTGCCGGAAAAAAGCCCTAGAGAAGGGAGAACTAAGGAGGACAGATGTGGATCACCCGATGGAAGAATGAAAGAGAAACATGCCGAGAAGGCAAGAACTCCCGGACTACATCACCAGTCCGGTTGGCTGCATGTCATCACGTGACTCATCACGGCGCCGGTGTGCATAACTAGCCATTTATGCACAACCTTACTCAGCCACTTTCCTGCTTCTCTTCTTAAGGCTTGTGTGTTTCGAGATCTATGTGATCATAAGATAGAATCAAGTCCATTGCGGAAGTTCCGTCTCAATTTTGTGGATCTACTTCCCTTTATGGACATTGTCATACCATACCATACCTTTCAACTCAATCTGTAGGGATAGTCCACCGGAGAATAAGGTCTCCACCCGGACCAGCTCCGACTCCGGTGGACCAATAATGGACTCAACTACAACAAGTGACCAATTCCAAATGATCTATGCAAGTTCTTATAAGTCTGCAAGTATTTACATATAAGCTTCGCTATTATGCAAAGCAGTCATATTTGACGGAATAACGATAGCCTACAGTCGTTATATATCTTTCTCTGTCACATTGTGTACTACACAATTTGACTTTGTATCAAGAAATGCCCTACAAGAATTACCCAGAGTATGATATGGTGGTTCTTCATGGCGGCCAGTTTTATCAAAGAGGGATATACAAAGAAGGCAAGGTCCCACAATCAACATAACAAACTGCTTCGTGAAAGTACAACTGTCTACCTACTCTTCCGCGACCTCGGCAATCTACGTAGTTCGAATATATATGTATTTCCCAGAAACATATTCCGGGGCCACAAGCGGAAGAGCACCATGGCAAATGCACGCACGTATCCTGTAATCTTCCATCTATGCCATTACGAGTCCCTGAGTACCGTCAAATCTATTATATCTTTGAGGTCCCTACTCAAACAACGCATCGATAAGCATTAACGACTCGCCTTATAATTTAAAAGAACATAACGTAATAATTAGCAGATTATCAGTATTTCCAACTTATTCCAAAGCCCATCTGCGATGAAAAGGACACGCTGACATAGTGGCACCACACACCGGCGACCGGCGCGTACCATCAATGTTGAAAAGAGAAAGACGATTGAGAAGAAAAACGGGTAACCAATACGCCATAGAGGTTTATATTGCAAATCTCCCGTTGAAAGTTTGGTACGCTTCTTGTGTTTGTGTTTGCATTTATGGTCTGAACAAGGTAGACTAACATCTTCAGTCTAGAATAAATAAGGAAGGAAAGAAAAGGAAGAGAATACCTCCCCGATGACGGGGGTAACAATATTGCGGAAACCTAGTTGGTCGAGGATGATGTCGGTACTGTATAGTGTTTGTAGAACCTTATAAACTCAGGAGTGAGGTGGGTCTAGTTACTTAAGACTACTATCTAGTAGGTATATTGCTACATAGGACTCACATCGAGTGTTGAATAGGATTATGTCTTTTCGAAGTTCTATGACATGGGTTGCTTGAGTTGACAATATGTCAGGCGAGCCAAGACTGTAGTGTGTACATCGTGGTGCATGAAACCAAGACCCTAATCCAGCTGGCACCGTCCCTTTACAGAGAGAAAACAAAAAGCTAGTAATAAAACTCTCTCATGGCCATTAGCATACCATACCTCAGGAACGCACTATAAAGCACCTCTCTTTACCAATTGTTCACACACTTGCCCTGAGCGGCATCGATGCTCAAATCGCACTTCTCCCAAGCGTTGCAGCAAGACGCACAGCCTTCCCAAGTACAACAGTAATCGCCAACATCAGGACAGGTATCTCGTGTTTTCGAGTCAATTAATTCCTATAGTAGGTTCTGGGTAATGGGGTGCACCTACCACTAGTAGGTGGGGGGATAATGACCAGGCGCTCGCTCAGAGGGACACTGGCCGTGCTGGCCATGCCAACGGTAGCAGTGAGTGTGAGAAGAGTGAAGAGCTTCATTCTCTTGGGAGGCGTTCTGAACGAGATGGAGAATCGGTATGTTGGATGAGGATGGTAGGGGAATGATTGATGGATGAGAGGGAGGAAGTGCAGGTATTTATAACGTCGTCCTGCACTTCTCGGGCTTCTGATGGCTATGTCTTCGGGGATTACTTCGGGGATTGCTGCGTTGATCTGCGAGTAAATCGCATGTAGGCCCGCTACTTGTGCTGAACCAACCCAATACTGGCCACCGCTAGATGGAAACCCATGACTACCTAAGGAGGAAAATAACTCCGACAAGATGGAACTCTGCGGAGATAGTGACCGAAGATCCACCAGTACATCGCTTAGAGCCGTGGGGATTGAGATCGCAGATCATCCCTTTTGGTGAGGATGGTCAGCGGCGCTAGCAATGGTTACTGTAGATAATACAACTGGGCATGCGGACAGTGTTGGTGTATTTTAATTGAGCTACAAGTGATACCTCCATGATTCTTAGGAAGACTATACAAGATGACGATTAAGGATACATCCACTTAATATTAACGGCACGTGGTGTTTTTACCGACTCAGTAGATTTGACATCAGATAGTGAACATGCCAGAGTCGCCACGCATCTCCACAATTCAAAGCTCACACAGACGATCCTTGATCTAGATGGTTCGTGCCGACGCTGCAGTGGAGTCTATAGGTTGGTCCAACATTGGCCCCCAGAATGATCTGCATAAGTCTCAGCCGCACGAGACCCACCTGGATCAAGAGAGAACGGAGATTCGGTGCCATCTAAGGAAGGTTTTCCGCTGAGTCCGGAGTAACAGAGAAACAACTCGGTCCTTATTCGCTGCTCATTGGGCAATAGATGTGGGAGATACACCAATGCCAAGATGAAGGGTGGTAGACTCCTCGGCTTATCCGAAACGCTCGGGACACCTCTGTGATACTGCCACTCGGGCTTGCGCTAATGCAACCTCATTGTGAATACGTTGCATATCTCTTGCACGCTGCATCATCAATGAGATTCTCTCGACCCTTATCTCAGAGGCACAGCGCGGCCGCCTGCTCACTCTCTGCAGACTTGGGCATAGTACATGTCTGAGTCTCAAAGTGGGCGCAACTGGGTCGGTCAACTGTCTCAGGCTTTTCGAATTCGAGATTATTCAGGTCGTAAAGTCTGACCCTGGCCAGCGAGCTGACCATACCAGGTGCAAGTAGATCTCATCCAGCACGGCGACGGAAATGGTCCATGGCCAGTGTCGACGGAACGGGTTGGAGATTTTAAACAAGCGGGATTTTTTCAAGGGCAATCCAGTTCACCCAAAGATTTGTCGGTGACAAGCCCGGCGAGCCATGGGGGTTTGCTGCCAATATGTCCAGCCCATCCTCCAGGGTCTTGATGAGTGGGGTATGAGTGGAGATGAGTCGACATGAGTCATTCTGAGTCGAGCTCGATCCGAACCCCACCCGGAGGTTCAAGCCCCACAAGAAACCGAGATCTGACCACACAGCCGCAGTTGCTCGACTCATCTGCAGACTTGGCACCAGTCTCGGAAAGAACCGACCCGCCGCCTGCCCCACAGCTTCTCACGTGATGTTGCATCGTGACTTGGCTATATCAACGACCATGTCCGTACGAATTCAATCATCCATTGCACCATTACCTAGTTTTCGCCATCTCAACAACAAGCATTATCACTAAAACAAGCTGTTCTCTTTACTTTCCTCCTTCAACATGACGACAACATCTTCTTCCTCCAATACCATGACCTACTATGACATCGCCATGCGCCCCCCATGTGCGAAGACATGCTGCAGCCCCAACCCTTGGAAGGCTCGATTGGCACTCAACTTCAAGAAGGCTGCCTATTCAACCACATGGGTGCCACTACCGGACGTGTCCAAAGTCCGCCGCGGTCTCGGCCTGCCCCCTTGTCGCAAATTTGCCGATGGCACCGACTTTTATACCCTCCCCATTCTGTCCGACCCAAGCACGAACTCAAAAATCGGCGACTCCTTTGATATTGCGGTCTACTTACAACGGACATATCCCACCTCCGGTGCAGGTGACCTGTTACCCCCTCAGACACTCGACTTCGTCCTCTCGCAGGAGTTTGCGCAGCTCATACCGCTGTCCGAGCGCAGTGAGGGCGAATTTGATGAATATGCTCGGTTCAACACGAATGTCGACGCAGCATTTACCGCACATGTTGCGCTCGGAGTACAGGGCATGCCTCTTGACCCAGAGACTGCTGAGACGACCAAGGCTGAATTCGTCCGGCGCGCGGGGGTGTCATCATGGGATGATTTCACGTTGCATGGGGAGGCGCGAGAGAGGGTGAAGAGTTCTTTCCGGGACACGCTAGGGGATCTCGCCAAGCTGTTTTTGAGAGATCCCAGTGGGCCCTTTGTACTTGGACAGCAGCCCAGCTATGCGGATTGTATTGTTGGGGGGTGGCTGCGGATGCTGTGTGTTACTCTGCCGGCGACTGAGTGGGAGGAGTTGAGAAGCTGGCATGGGGGTGTTTTTGGACGGCTACATGATGGATTGGATAGATTTGCGGAAGTTAAATAGATCATTCAATTTTGCCTTGAGATAATGTCGGGGAAGGGTGTTTCAAGAGCAAAGGGAAAAAGGAACTAAAAGACATAGAAGTGTCCATTTGAACATTCGAAAGGCGGTAATTTCCTGTGCATTGATCTCGACAATCATGTATTGCAAATGTGTAGCAGAGCATCCATAAAAGTCGATAGCCTGACCTGATTGCAATTTTGATATAGCATAGGGAATGCAAGATGTGAAGCGTCACCTGACTGGTCGAAACCGCCATCCCTCCCAGCGTCAACTGTGCAGAAGTCGCTCTTTAACCTTGTCATTCTAACTGTTCGATCAATGCACACACTACAGACAGGCTTCGTCCATTTCATTTGTACCCCGGCACCATGTAAAACCCCCTGAACCTCTCAAAAGTAACAACCTTTCGAGTTCTGTATGTCGAAACCGCGAAGTTGCAGTCAATAAATGAATTCCATCCTCACAACACCCACTCCAAGACGCATGGGATGGAAGCAACAGTAAAGATACTAATCGGATGTACTTCCGACTATAATGCCTCATCTTATGCACTGTGCTATCACTAGAGTATCAGGCGTATACAAAAAGCAAAATTGCGAGCTGCAGGTCTCCCGAGATGTGACCGTCCACAACACTTCATTGGACAAGTGGTACCCCCCAGTGACCCGGCCACAGGGCAGCTCGTATTCCTTGTTCGGTAACGAACAGGAACCGTTGGCCTGGAGACAGATACATTTATAACATGCGCTAATTCTGCTGTCGAATTCTGATCAGCTACACCTGCTCATGTTCTGCCAATTCTTATAGCCTAGCACCTAGTCGTCGCCCCAATGTCCTCCACACTACGACTCCAACGCAAACTCGCCATCGTCACTGGTTCATCCTCTGGGATTGGGAGAGCCATATGCCTTCGATACTTTCGCGAAGGAGCCAAGGTGGTGTGTGCGGACCTTTCAGCTACAGCACGTTCCCAGGTTTCTGAAGAGGCAGACATTGCGACACACGAATTGATCACCAATGAAGGCGGCAATGGCGATATTCGTCCAAACCGACGTTAGTGATGCCCGCCAGATGGAACGCCTAGTACAAACTGCAGTGGATCGATTCGGTCGACTAGATATGTAGGTCACACCAACCCATCATACATAATAGGCTATTAACTCTGATCATGCAGCATGGTAAATAATGCAGGTATCAGCCTAGAAGCGCGAAAGCCCGCCATGTGCCACCTGACAGACGAGGATATACGGGATACGACCATGCGAGTCAACGCCAAGTCGGTCTTTCTCGGCTGCAAGTATGCCACCGCTCAGATGTTGAAACAAACCCCGCATTCTTCGGGAGACCGGGGCTGGATTATCAATATTTCGTCAATTATGGGTAGCGTAGCTGGACCTCAGGCTCGTGAGTTCAACAGAGAGCTATATGTTTATTGAATATTTGAGCTCACGCGGAATACAGCTGCATATTGTGCATCCAAAGGGGCTGTCAGCAGCCTGACGAAACAAATCGCGGTAGACTATGCACCGCATCGCATTCATGTCAATGCCATCTGTCCTGGGTGTAGGTACAACCTGAGTTTGGCTTTTGTTGATGAGGTTGGATGCTAATTGTTTAGTTACACAAACAGCCCTCCTCAAACAGACCACCGAGAATGTAACTTCCTTGGAAGACATCAAATAAAAGCACCCTTTCAATGGTCTAGGCTACCCGGATGATATTGCGAGACTCGCTGTTGTACTAGCCAGCAATGATGTCAACTGGATCACTGGTATCCTTCTCCCTGTGGATGGTGGGTACACTGCACAATAAATAAAGGTATGTACAGGTCACGTATCTATATGGAAGTAGTCATCAGTTCTTAAGAAGACGTTCAATCCATCAATCGTAAATAGAATTCCAGTCCCCGAAAAGCAACGACTGCGATTGGAAAACATTCTATCCAAAGGGGAGGTATCTCGACGATGTTTTCAAAACACAATATCCGGCTTGATCTCTGGACTCAGCGTTCAAAACTAATACCGCCAAAACACCCCCCCTGCTTCACTGTAGATTGTGTATAATAGGTCGAAAGTGCACAAGTAGGCCAGAAAATATAAGAACCGGGAGGTTGTGGAATCCTCACATCAATGCTGGATGGGATGAGAGATTAATTGTTGATGTGGTAAAGATGGCGAACTGTCCTGTCCCCCATCCCTGCGCCAAAATCAGGGGGAGGGAAAAAAACAGATAGTATCCATCAAGCAATTCTTATGTTAAGCTAATCAGTAAAATGAATCTTTTGCCTGTGCTTCGTGCGATATTGGACCCAGGACGCGTGGATATTGGCAGGGATCGGACAGGGCCTTAGGCTCCACTATGGGCCTTACTGCGGCTTAGCGGTAAGATTCCCCGATGACTGTAATATTACCACTGATTAGCGGGAAGCCGTTGGGATAAGCTTTGCCAAATATAGACATGGCGTCGGGTGGAGGTCCTCCGAATGGTATGGCGGCATCGAGCTTGCTGGGATCAAATCCTGAACTCGCTAGCGCAGGGGAATAGCCAATACCTGGGAGAGACCGGAAATTTGGAGGGGCTCGCGGGATGTGCTGGTTGCTGAGAAAACAAAGAAACAAAAGGAGATGGAGACACTAGTACGGAATGATTTACTTTAATCATCCTACAGAGTACTCCGTACTCATTGTGTAATTATCCCGGTAGGATATGATGTTTGCAGTTGTAATGAATCATGAACCTACCTGTTTAATTAGTGAGCTCACAAACGCAAGTAAGTTCACCAAGTGAGATTTAAGATGCACCGGACACCTTCCTCCATCCATGGGGATCAACAGAGTTTCAGCAATGTCGACCGCGTACGCCGCCCAAAGTAACCTGCCCACCATCCTCGGGGTCCTGACCCCCTTCTTCTTTCTGGCCGTTGTCGTAGTTGGGCTGCGGGTTTACAGCCGGCTCCGCATCGCACAAGCTGCTGGCATTGATGACATCCTCATCGTTCTTGCAGTGGTCAGTACGGCGATGAATATCCCCAAGGCTGTGGTCTCACCCGTTTGTATAGCTTTGTCAGTTGGGACAATGGATCGTCATTGTGATCCAGGCTCACCACGGACTGGGCCGGCACCAGTCGACCCTCTCTGAGGAGGAGCTGACGATCTTCAACCATGCCAGCTTCTGGGGCAATGTGATTGGGATTGCCATCGGCACCATGTTCCTCAAGCTCTCGATCGCGGTGAATCTGCTGCGGGTGTGTCAGAACCGCTGGTTCACAGTGGTGCTGTGGGTTTTGATTGGTAGGAGCCCTGCGTCCAGCAGTGTTGGAGTGGTTACTGACTCGCTGACTCCCTCGGGTTTTTGGACAGTCATCGTCATTGTTTACGAGCTGGTCGGAACCCTCTTCTTTTTCCTCAATTGTCGTCCCATGGCCGGGTCCTGGGATTTGACCATCGACGCCAAATGCACTTCCACCAGGGTGATCGTAATTGTCGGGCTTATTAATACAAGTGGGTGTTATGCCAGTGTACCTGGGTGTTTTCCATCTGACCCATCAGGTTTCAACATTTTCACAGATGTTGCCCTTGCTGTCGTCCCGATTCCCATCATTTGGCGCCTGAATATGAAGCGATCGGTGCGTCTGTACCTGGTTGGCATTCTCAGTCTGGGATACCTGTAAGTGACCTTATATACCCCCCGAGGAGCTGAGATCAGACTGAATGTTGATATAGCGTTGTTGCGATGGACCTTGTCAAGACTTATTACCAAGAGACATACACAGCCACAACAGACGAAACATAGTAGGTACACCCCTCCTTTGGCTGATGCGCTCCATCCTGGACTAACTCGGTGTCTGGTCGAACCGTCAAGTACATTCAGCCTAATTTTCTACGGATTGTATGCACATGGACCCTCTTCCCCTGAACTGCCTTGAATCTGACCCTGCCCCTATTGCAGTCTGGAAGATTGCGTCGGCATGATCGCCGCTTCGGTCCCTATGCTCAGGCCACTAGTTGGCAAGGCACTCGGGCTTGGACCGCCCGACACCTACTATCCCTATGGCAGCACCCCGAATGATGCACCGGGTAGGAGTCATGGGTCGCACGCCGCCGGTCGCGTTTCGGCCGTACGGAGAAGTGTCATCGGTCGGGTCGGGGCCAGCCGCGACGTATATGAGCTCGACGAGCGCGAGACAAACAGTGAAGGTGGCACGTTAACAAGTCGGTTCAAGGTTAACGACAAGGCCATCCATGGAGTGTCAATGTACCGGCACGAGGCGGAAAGCGAGGAGCACATCCTCCCGGATCCTTTGCTTGGTTCGAGGTCCACAATGACCCACAGCCGAGCTTGGAGCTGATCCGTAGGAGCAGGAATCTCTAGGATCACCGAGGGTATGGTGCAATAGACGGGCATGGACGGGCATAGACGAAGCCCAAGGCTATAGTAGTCGGTGGGTCAGGATTTTGTTGGCCTGTTAGGACAGTGGACCTGACCCTTGTTCCCAGGGCTACCAAGTAAGTAGGAGACATTAATATATGTTGGAGGTTGTGATATCGAGTGGGAAGCTGATTGGTGGGTGAAAGTTACATAGGGACGTCTGCTATAGCGCGGGGCTTGCAAGTGCTTACGAACCGGCTAAATTACCGACCCGTCGTTTCAGGGGCAGACAAATCCGAGAACATGCCATTGGTTCGGCACGATGAAGCGAGCCCTAGAGGCAATGCCATAAAGAGGCGGCTGCAGTAGCTCTCGTCGCTTCTTGATGTGTTTCGACCCCCTTCCATCAGATTGTCCTTGCTGCGAGTTTTCTCATCATGTATTATTCCAGATCTCTCACGGCGGCTGCCACGGTTGGATCATGCTGCGTCGCAGCCGCAGCCTCCAACTCGACTTCGTTTAGGAGCCGATTTCCCGAGGCAGCAGCAGTTCAGGCAGTGGATGTGGTGGTCGTTGGTGGCGGCGCCTCGGGGGCAAATGCGGCGATTCATTTCAAGGATGCTGGGCTCTCACTCCTGCTGGTCGAAAAGCAGGACCGGCTTGTACGTAATCGCATCAGGGGTTCTTGCTAAATTGCGGTACTGACCATCGCCCAGGGTGGAATGGTCAACAGCTGGACCGATCCTACTACGGGGACCAATTATGATTGTATGTCCTCTTCCATTTATAGGAACGTATGCTAATGGTATATCAGACGGCGTGGCGACGTACACCAACTATACCGGCACGGTCGAGTTCTTCGACCGTCTGGGCGTCGACATTGTGGAGCCGGACGAGGACGGGTCGTACACTTCTTACTATGCGGACTTTACCACAGGCAAGACCGTAGATTATGTGGCTCCCAGCGTTACCGATGAGCTGCTTGCTTTGGAGTCGTTCTACAACGTTTCCAGCCTGTACCAAGATCTCTTCCTTCCCTCCTACGCCAATTGGCCTGCGCCGGATGATATTCCGGAAGACTTGTTGATGCCATTTCGCGATTTTGCTATGAAATACAGTCTGAACGACACCATGCTGGTAGGTCTTCTCACCAATGTGTTCTCAACTCTGGCCTTTCTGTCGAGGCTCAACAATTAAGTTCTAATGACTCTGTAGCTCATCTGGGCTGGTATCGGCGCCGGGCTGGCGGACATGCTGGACGCACCGACATTGTACCTGATGCAGACATTTAGCCCTCAAACTGCCGCCGTCTTCATAGGCACCGACGTCCAGTATGTGCCCGCCTCGGGCCGGAACCAAGACATCTATGACGCAGCCGCCAACATACTCGGCGAGTCTGTCATGCTGAACAGCGTGGTCGTGGAGTCGATCCGCCTTCCGGGAGACCTGGGAGTCGAACTGCTAGTCCAGAACCAGCTCCATGGCAACTACACCATCATCCTCGCCAAGCGCCTGGTGATGGCCATTGAGCCCACTGCATCCAACATGGGCCCATTTTCTCTGGACGAGAAGGAATTGGCCATCTTCAACCAGAGCACGTGGAGTGTGGTCAACACTGGCATTGTGTCTCATCCTTCGCTACCGGTGGACGGCCTCATCTACAATTTGCCTGCTACCGCCGTAAATGGCAACGACTTTGCGGTCCCTGAGCCTCCATTTGTGGATTACTTTGAGGTGAGCCCTCTCTTCTTTAAAGCACTCAATTTCAAATCCCTGTTCTACGGATTAAAACAATCTAACCCAAAATCAGTACCTCGGCAACAACCTCTGGCAAGTCATCGTCGTCGGCTGGCTCGGCCTCACTGAAACCGCGGCCCAGGAACTGGCCAACGAAGCCGTCCAAGCCCTAGCCGCCGCTGGAACCATCCCAGCCACCAACGGCACCAACCTCACGATCAAAGCTTGGTCGAACCACGGAGCCATGGACATGCGCACTACTGCCGAGAATCTAAAAGCTGGATTCATTCAGAGACAGTACGCTCTGCAAGGGCACCGCTCGACGTATTGGACCGGTGGTGCCTTTTCCAATCAACTGTCGACTGATCTCTGGGCGTATAATCTGGAGTATTTGGTTCCGCTAGTGCTGGAGAGTTTTAACTAGAAGCCACCTTCTACATCTACTGTCCGTTTAAGTATTCGTTAGACATGGTCAGACTATCCGATGATTCTAAAATATTAGGAATACTAAATTGCCAATTTGAGGCATGTAATGATAACGTGCTTGCATGTACTTTTGGAACACACTGCAAATTGAAGATGGTTTGCCAAGAAGTACGGGGCAATGGCGCATCTGGGAGCGCGTCAGACTGAAGATCTGGAGGTGGCCGGTTCAAGCCCGGCTTGCCCCATATTTTTGTTTTTCACATTTTGCCTTCCGTTTTGGGTGTTTCCTTATGACTTGTTTTCTTCTGCTGTGCTCGAAGAGTTGAAAAGTTGCGTGTCCTGGGTCTAGAGGATGTCCAGAACGGGTATCAGCGATCAGGATACCATATCTACAGATGTCCCACCGGACTGTATATCAAAAATACCCATCCTAGGTTTTCATTTAATACCTGGACTGGGCACTCAGATTCATTGATATTCCCCTACTATCTTATCACCGCCTCCACGGACATGGCTCTAACTGTGTCTGCAGCGGGGTATTGACCAGCGAGTAAATATCATGACCGAGTATCAGGAACCTCAACTTCATCACAACAATGTTGTGGTGTAGCTATCGAAATCAATCCTCTTGGATAACTCGATCGTTGAATACGTCAAAAGTATTGCCTCGGTGCCGTCTATGTTCATATATCCGGTCCGAAATATCAGGCTCTGCCCGTTGGCCGCTATAGCTACCCTCTCACATCGCATCCTTCCGGGCTTCCAAGGCGGCTCGTCTTCACCCCATTGCGTCGTACCTTTCGGTCAATCAGGATATAGTACAGTATTGTCTATGGATATATACGAGAATATCATCTGTAGAGGTTTGAATAAGTCTCCAATGGGGAGATCACATCTTTCTGGATAAATCAAAGTGACCAACCAGTATGTCAGACTCCATTGTTAGATCATAATATTATTATACTTGATAACGAGTTTTCAGAGGGGCATGTCAGTAGATACAACCCGAACAGGCAGTAAAAACCATTAAGGTCATTAAAATTCATCAATCTACCACAAAGTCCCACTATATACACATGACACGTATCCCGGCTAGCTGATCATCGGTTCCCACCTCCTCCCACAAAATCTTAGCACCATACGCACCCCACATCAGCACCCAATCCATCTCCATCTTCAAATATCTAAAATACCAATTCAATTACGCATCCACCTCACACTCAATCAAACTCTCCGACCACGCATCCCCGACCCAAATCTTCAAAATCCGGAACCCAGCTCTACTCAGCAAACCCCGCCACTGGGCCTCCGTGCGCTCCGCTCCCGCAAAATCCCCCATCATGACCCAGTCCAGTCCCGTGGCTTGCCAATGCGCTCCCCGATCTGGTATGACGTTCTCGTTGATGAGTAGTCGACTGTAGCCGGGTGTCATGGCGGCGCGTAATGGGGCTAGGATCTTGAGACATGTGTCGTCGGGCCAGTCGTGCAGGACGGAGTGGAGGAAGTAGGCGCGGGAGCCTAGATCATTATCAATAATTGGTTATTGTCAGGAGGAGGAGGGGGGTATGTACCTTTGCACGGCTGCTCCGTGAAGAAATCATGCGGCATGCGTTCGATCGACTCGTGCAGGCCGGTAGCTTCGGCTAGTACAGCCGGCTGGTCCTGCAGGATCAATCGCCCCCGGGCAGCGGGCCATTTGGTGCGGAACTCGTTCAGGTCGTGACCTTTGCCGCCGCCGACATCGACGAGGAGGATGTTGGGATCGGTGTCGGTGGGGGTGGGGGTGAGGAGACGGTCGACGGGGTAAAAGCCTGGATCCATCCAGCTGGCGCGACCTTGGTGGTAAACCGACATGAGGTTGTTGAATTGGGCGCTGAGGATAGGGTCTCGAGCGAGGAATTCGAAAAAGGAGTCTTTGGTGTGGAAGCCTTGTTGGAAGGGAGAGGCGAGGCCGTTGGTGGGGTTTTGGTAGTGGGTTTGGCGGAGGAAGGCGGGGATGGCGGCGATGGCGGGGGAAGTGGTTCCTGCTCTGGTGAAAGTTAGATTCGTCTTCATTTGGCTGTTTGGGAGAGGATGGGTACATCGTGGGAAAGGCATCGGCGTAGCGGGTGTTGGCGACGGTGCGGGTAAAGTTGTTGCTCGTGTATTCGTCTCGGCCGGTTTCGGTCACGGCATGGACGGCGTTGAGGTGTTTCATGATGCGTTCTGTGGTGGTTAGGGTGAGCTCAGGAGTTGGATGAGCTCATGGCTTACGGAGGAGGACGATGTCTGCCCCGGTGGCCGTGGCCAGCTCTGTAATGGGGACTGGACGGTCATGGCTGGAGAGATGGCGGAAGATGCCGAGGTTGATGCCCGTCTCGATGGCTGCGAACGCAGTAGGCTGGGTCCCGGGTGAGTGGTATTCCGAAGAAGGATGCAGAGACATACGTTGCGCCAGCAGTAGCGGAGAATGGTTTCACGAGGGGTCTCCAAGGCAGAAAGGAGGGAATCAGCAGCTTCCAGGAGCTGAAGGCGAGCTCCAGCTTCTCCCGCCGTAAAGGCCTTGCTCAAGGAGCCAATGGACTTTGCGAGATTGGCCACCTGGTCAGGGGCTGTAGGGGAGACGGCGATCTCATCGACCTGCTTCCCTGCATGGGAATCAGAGGCTGGGACGGAGTTTCCGTTGAGTTCGACCATGGTGATTGTGACTGGAAGAGGAACAGGGGAGAGGGCAGGTGAGAGATGAGCAATAAGTAGTCTCCCTATTATTGAGGACATCCATTGACAGCGGCATCGTACCATGGGCCGCCTGTCGGAGAACTAATAAACTATCTACCTTCCTGGCAATAAGTTTCCAGCTGCCCCGATTGGAGGAACCATCCCGTCCGATCAGTAGTAATTTCATCGTCCATGCCATTGCCCCACTCTGTCTGCCACCGGTCCACTTTCCGGTGATCCGAGTGGAGTTGGGCGTTATTGACACGGAAGGCAACGGGAGGGGGAGGGGCCGCAGTACGATCTCGACAACCCTGCGATGATCTGCCCAATTTCAGATCGCAAGGTGATGGAGACATATGCAATGCAGGTGCAAAGGGCCGGATTCCACTGCAGGGAACCTTTCGGAAATCATCACTGAGTGTCTCTGTGCTGATGAGACGGGCGCTGATTAGTGCGGATAGTGCTGACCGGCTGGGGTTAGGGCACAGTCCGCGTCCCACTAGTTGTCCCCCACAGCCATACACTAACGGATTGCGCCAACGAGCTGCCTAGGCCCCCAAATTTGTGCCAGCTAACACGATCCTGCCTCGAAGCTGACAGGGATGGCCAGGAGCTGAGCAGTTAAGACCAGGCCCAACGGCAGGGCAAAAATATTTCAAACTCCCGCTGCAGCTGCCCGAACCTCCCAGTATGCTGGATGTCCGGCACCTCGCATCCCACCATGACGGATACCTCTGCATATGATGAACAGAATCAAGGCCCGGCCCTGCTGGCGGTGATGTGGACCCTAACGGGCCTGGCGACGGTCATGGTCCTGGCCCGCCTGTTCATCCGGACCAAGATCATCCACGCCGTGGGGCTGGACGATTGGCTCATTGGGATTTCCATGGTAAGTCGATACTGGAGATGATATAGCCCGTCCACTGACCTGGCCAGATTCTAGGGGTTATCAACGTGATCCTCGCGACCGTCGCCGTTCACCATGGATTCGGCCGGCATTCATCCACCATCGGACCTGCCGCGACCGAAAAGGCCAACCTGACTATCGACATTGGCTGGATCTTTGGCATTCTCTCGTTCGCGTTTCCTAAGCTAGGTGTGGCCGCCCTGCTCCACCGGATTTTGATCCCGGGGTCCCGGATGAAGTGCGCGCTTTGGGGGCTCACGGGGCTGGTGATGGCTGTCGCGGTGGTCAATATCCTGATTTTCTTCACCTCGTGTGATCCCCCGCGCGCTCTGTGGACGACTGTCAAGGGGTCGACGTGTCGCAGTTCCAATGTGATTATTGGATTTGCCACGTTCAATGGAGGTGAACCATCCAAGCACCCCAACTGGCTGGCAGTCTGGAACTGACCCGACCAGCTTTATCCGCATTCACCGATCTCTCGCTCGCCATCTACCCAAGCGTGATCCTCTGGAAACTGCAAATGTCGTTGCGCAAGAAACTAGCCCTCTCTGCAGCTTTAGGTCTAGGAGCCATGTTCGTCCATCAACCATCACCATCACCCATTCCCTGACACCATCTAATCGAGCAATCTAGTTCTGCCTGCGCGGCCATCATTAAAACCACCCACCTCAAAGCCCTCGCCAACGTCACCGACGCAACATGTACCCCTTCCCCCCTACCCCATACCCTATCCACGTACAAATCTAACCCACCCAGACGTAAGCTGTTCCCTCGTCCTCTGGACAAAGTACGCCTCCCCCCCTTCCCACTCAACACACCACTCTAACAGATCCCAGCATCGAAGCCGATCTCGTCGTCCTCGCCTCCTGCATCCCCACCCTCCAACCGCTCCTTGAATTCCTCCTCGGCAAACGCTCCTACGGGACCCCTCGATCTTATCCTACCTACGAAGGCGCCGGCGGAACGGGATCCGGAACAGGGGCGTCGAAACGGCCGTCGGCAAGACGATCCACGCAGGGTCTATCGTTGCCGACACGCATGGATAGTCGGGAGGAGATGATCCCGGAGGCGAAGGGGAGGACGATGTGGCAGATTCATCGCACGGATCAGGTGGTGGTGGAGTATGAGATGGGGGGGAATGTTAGTGCAGAGGAGGGGAGTAGGTAGGAGGGTTGCGTTTTTGCGGGTTGGGGTTTAGGGTTTGTGGGTAGTGGAATAGATTAGGAAACAGTGTTGATGGGGTTAGAGTGGGTTTCTAATATGGAAGGAAAAGTTTTTTTCTGTCTGGGGGCGTAAACGACGTAGTTGGTGTATATGATTTAGTTGACGTACTAGGAAGATGGGACTGGATTCGAGAAGGACAGTGAACCAGGCTAGTTTCCTATGCATAGTAAGGGCCTGGCGTGGAAATGGACTCGGGTGATCGGCAGGGCTATGGGGGCCGCTGGGATGTCCGAGCACCTGCACATCTACATACGATAGTAGTAGTGAGTAGTGACTATAGCACCATCTACTATAGCACCTCCTTGTATCGATCAGAGCTTTTTCCATCATGAGTACGGAGTAACGTCGAGTGAATCCGCCCCTATCAGCGGGACTAGATAGTAGATCATTGCATCAAACCCTTCTTTATATTCGCATAGAGAGACTCAATGACATCCACCCGGGCCTTCTTGATATAGTGTAGTCTGTACCTAATCAATCATACCTAAACACATCCACCAACACCACCCCAACCTATTTACATCCCCCAAACAACCCTTCTAAATACCCCTCCACCCTCTTCACCCCCACCCCCCCAAAAACCCCATTATGCACCATCCCCTTGGGCCTCACAAAGCTCCCCTGTCCCTGCATCCCCCTGACCAAAATCCAAAAATCATCCGCGAAGCTCCCACCGGCCCTCACCTCCTCCGGTACACTCCCCTTATCCCGCATGACCTGATCCAACACCTCCATCGGATAGACCACCTTCTTCACCTCCCGCCCCGAGAACCGCTCCAACATATCCGCAATCTCAGCATACGACACTGTATCATTCACGAAATTCAACTCCTTATTCTCGGACAGCTCGGGGTGGCGGATCGTCTCGACGATGAATGCCGCGAGGTCGTCCGTGTGCGTGAAGTCGATTTTGGCATCCGGGTTACCGACGATGTAGAGGGTATAGGATGACAGGGTGGGGTTGGTCCATGGACACCAGGTTGTTTCGCGGGGTTGGTTGTAGAGGTCTCCGCTGCAGATGAGCGTGTAGGTCATTTGTCCTGAGGTGATGGACGGGTGGTGCAGGCAGGGTTCTGTGCTGGTGATTTTGGACATCCATGTCTGATTCCTCCCACGGTATTGTTAGTAGATGATTGGTTGGAGGGGCGCATATGGGTCAAGTAAACAAGGGGAGGGGAGGGGAGGTACAGGATGAATCAATCCATACTCCTCCCCCGGCGGCTGATAAACATGATGCATGCCGTATTCACTCGGATAGAAGCGTTTCACGCCAGTCGTGGCGGCCGCATCTTGGACTTTGGATTGGGCGGCGAGGGCGGGGCCGTTCAGCGCGCTGATCACGATGTCGATGTTGGTGAGAATGGGGATGAGGTCGTCTGTGCTGCAATTCACCAGGTCGAGGGATTTGGTGGTCAGACGGGCTTGTTGTTCTGGGGTGAAGGATTCGGCGGTGGTGAGGGGCTGTGGGTTCGGATCGGGGTGAGACGATCTGCAGCACGTGGTAGGGGGTCGTGGTGAGGAGGGCCCGGAGGATGGCACTGGCCCACTTGGCCGGTTGGGCCGAGGAGGGCGATTTTCATGATGTTGGTGGTGTTGGATGGATGGATGTCTATGGGGAGGTGTAGGTGGGTGTTTGGTTGGGTTAGGGCTTATATGGAGGTGTTTACGTCATGGGGAGTCCTGGTTTGGTAACTCTGGATGTACTTGATTCTGAAATATGACTGCAGGATTGACAGACCCGACTGTTCTTGAGTTTCCCACATGGTGAAAGCTGCATTGTGGTGGATAAAGTCAATGCAAACTATGGGGTGCCCGGTTGGTGGCAGTAGCTATTTGTACCTGACAGCCATCGACGTCACCACCCACAACAAGCAGGGAGGTCGGATACAAACAAGTTATACTTATGAACACAGGATGTTGGCAACTGGAATTAGCTGCTATATACATTGCTTCAAACAGGAACACAATAACAACCAATCATAATATGTACAAGGCTGCAATGCACAGGAAGACGGAATGACAATCGCAAGCACTTCACATCAACAGACACATCTGCACATCAGTTCAGTGCATTCGCGGGCAGGTCGGCGGGCGGAAAGCACCGATCGGTGGCATTGGAATCATTGCCCCACCAGGAGGGGAACGACAGGTTCGGAAGGTTGACCACGAAGATGCAGACCTACACCATTAGCAAGGAACAAAGCGAAAGAGAAGGAATAAAACACACCAAAGTCATCAGCTGCGTGCCGCAATCCAGACCAACTCCAGTCAAATAGTTGTACTTTCTCCACCACACGGGAAAGTACCGAGGCAGAATCCCCATGAACAAGATGCACGCCAGGAACGACATGAAAAAGTTCGTGGTCGGGTAGTACGGAAACAAGTAGCCTCCATAGAACAGCAGGGTCGGGTTGAACCAGCGCTCCAGGTCCCACTTGGGCTTCCACTTTTGCACCAACCAGGTGACAATGACGGTGCCAGCACCCACCACGAACGAGTAGTACACCCAGGGATAGCGGTCAACGAAGAATTCCTTCGGACCCAGGATGCCCCAGATGATGGAGTTGGAGTAGTAGACGCGCGTCTGGACCGCATCCCATGCTTCGGAGCTCCGCTGTCCAATCAAATAAGGCCGCTCCCGATCAATGATGAGTTGCATGAAGCCGTAGTTGATAAAAGGACCGAGCAGGGTCCCCCAAACCTGGCCCCAGAACATCTCGCGCTCGGGAATCTTCATGTAGAATCCAAATTTGTAGTCGGAGATGAGGTTGAGATTCTGCTCCAGTACACAGTAGCCGTACGTATACGCCGACAGCACAGCAGTGGGCTTGCCCGGGAACATGGCTCCCGCCAGTAGATCACTGAACGAGCCCATACCGACCTGAATGTTGGCCACCGCCCAGAGGATACCATTGGGCCAGGTGAAGACAAAGGAGAAGAGACAGATCACGATAAATCCCCACCAGGACAGCTTCATGTTCCCCTCGTAGCCCTGGGCGATCGCAATCACGGCACAAATCACCAGCAGCGTGAGATACCACCAGTGAGGCACCCGTTTCTGGAAAGACATCATCTGGAGGTAGGGATCATTGTAGTCACTGCGCTTGTTCTGCCAAGCAGCTTTGAGATCCCTCCAGCCCGACTTGCCGTACCACAGGATGGCATAAGCCATGGAAGCTGTCAAGGCGGCAAAGGTCCAGAACCAGTAAAACACATAGGAAGGGGCCCAGTAAGGAGCCCCGTACTCCGCCAGCGCAGTACGGTTGAGCTCCATATTCGACCCAACAATAGCAGACACATCATAGGTGCTGCCATTGGCGGTGTATGTCCCGGTATCCATGGGGGCAAAAGTTTGGGCGTTCATCGTGTTGGTAAAGTAGATGAGCGGATAGAGTACCCAACAACAGAACATGGCAAAGATACCCTGGTTGAGACTAGACCAAAGCGGGGTATAGTATGGGGACATGAAGGTGATGTAGTTCCAATCAAGTGATAGATCCAAAATGCCCTGTTCTAGTTAGCAGCCATCGGTTCAAGTAGTAGGAGACGTACAAATCCGTAGGTACCCGATCCGAGGATAAACGCCTTCCAGTTGCCATGGCCAAACCAACAAATGAGAGGGAGAGAGCTCAGCAAGGGAAAGATGAGCTCTGGGAGCCATTCGTACACAAAGGTGACAGAAGCCACAATGGCAAAGTACTTGAGGGCTTTCTTGGTCACCGAGGGGTTCTTGTGCATGGCGTTGAACAGTGACACGTTGGGCAACACCCCGGGATAATACATCTGGGGTGGTCGAACCAGAATGTCACGGAACAACCCCGCAAAGCCATATCCGATCATCTGAGAGGCCAACAGGAAGAACATGGACCACCCAGCGTTGAGCTTCTCGCCATAGTACAGTTCGATGGCGGACAAGGGACCCATTCCATAGGCCGTGTAGCACTAACCAATTAGCGACGCTCAACATGCATAAGCACAAGACTTACACTACCCCAGTATGCTACCACAATGAGTGCATGCTCCTTGGCATTCCAGGGTCCTGGGTTCATGGACCATTTCCATCCGAAGAAGTTGAATTCCCTCTTGGGTAGATACCTAGCCATAGCGTCGCCCATGCCCCATGATAACAACTGGACGGCATAACTAGTGATGGTGTTATAGTATGGCTTGAAGTAATAAAAGGTGGAAAGTGCGCAGCCGACAAGGACCCAGAACGTAGACAAGGTCCAGAATCGAAAGGTTAGAATCGGCTCGCTGCAGGTGGTCAGTTAGCAGCGATCGAGCACGGAGGGGATGACTTGCGTTGGGTCATTGTGAAGATCGACTGTCTTCGCCACCAAGGGAATGGGATAGTCCTTGAGACGAGGATCGATAAACTCGTCCCTATCGCCAGGGACGATACCCTCTCCAATGGGGACATCCTTAAAATGACCATCAAAGTCTGCCTCGGCCACAAAGCCCGGAGCAACCTCGGCATCAAGGATGTCTGTCTCTTGAACCAGCATATCAGGCTTCTTCTCAGTCTCCACCGGAGTGGAGACCGGACTGTCGGTGACTTCGTCCGCCATGATGGTGGAACTGAGGACGCATTTGGTGTGACAAGTCGTGCTCTTATATAGGTCGGTGGTCGTGCGCGGTTCGCACCTCACTCTTCCTGGTTATCTCGCAAGACCATGGCGAGATGCCGGATACCGATGGGCCTAAATCCAAAATAGCAGGTGATAACAATGTGACTGATAGTCTCCAATGAGAGTCGATCCTGTCGGGTATGGAAAGCCACAGGCCTCCGCGCCAGTGGCAGGATACAGTTTCCCCGCTTTGTCGCGCGTCGATCAATTGCCCGCCACTGGCTTATCTGGAGATTGCTGTCCATATTGGTTAGAATATTGTCGGCGCTTATGCTCGCTATCGTATAGAGCCAGGGCATTGATTCGGTGTAGCAAACACAGTGGAAGTGTGTCCGCTGCGATTCACTATCGCATTGGAATCGACATGTCAGGCGATTGACCGAGACAAGCGGCTTGCCAAACCGGTTCTCATGCAACGCATAAACACGGGGTAAGGCATGGAACAATCGTATTGAGGTGCCACAGTGGCCGAACCGACAATAATGGCAAGCACTGATAAGCATCTGCGGAGAGATAAGTCGATGGAGACATGTTACTGGAGACGCCAATCACTGAGATGTGGACACCACTACCGGGATCTTATCATGGCCACTACTATAGTGTACCCATCAATATTGGAAATTCAGACCTTGTGAGTGGTTGCTCTGCATCTTTATCAGACCGACGGGTGGCGCGAGGATACCTATCCATCCTGGACCGGAGGTCCAACGCATCTCCGAACCGTTAACCCCGAGTTCAACTGCGCCACCTATGCATTGCATACGTCGTAATGAATTTATGGGCCTGAACGCTGAGCTAGTGACGACTGAATATGCCTCAGAGCATCTGGTTGGAGACCGAATGGACGTGATTGGGTAGTATCGTTGTGTAGCTCAAGACGCCATGAGCTTGAGACGCATCGGACCACCGGCTCGATACCTCACCGGTTAAATTTAACCAGGTACAAGAATACCCCCCATATCGATAGTAGATAGGCATGCTATGTGCTATCTCGCTTTCCCACGGCGTCAAGGGTCGTTCCCGTCCGATCCGACCTACACGCGAGATCGGATCCCTGGGCTTGTTTCTTGCTGCACCGGAATGGTGCATATTCGGCAATTTTGAGTATTGCGATTGCCTATTATCAAGTATCAGAAGTGCTCTGAAGGTAATGATATGAAGTCGTACGACTGCAAGGGATGTTTAGGCGTCTGACAAGATCCGTTGCACCATCATGTTGCAAAATTCCATCAACGGTTCGCCATCACCCGATTGTGGACAAGCTTTCTAGCGTGGGTGTAGCCGACCCATCCTCACGAATCGGCCTGTCATGGATGCTTCCGACCCCTCATTGCCATGCATTAGACCCAACGAGGTTCAGTGAGCATGGCAGTTCGGTGGCAACCAGGCTTGTGGGTGGGGCCAGGAGAAGACTTGGGGTGGCTCGGCCTGTCTCTGTGGTCTAAGAATCTTGGTGCCTGCTGAATGCGATTAGCTCGATAGATTCTTCCTGGCTGTGTCTTTGAAGTGACCGATTTGGTGTTGTTGGAATGAATTGAAGGAATGAGAGAATTATTTCCGACCCCTCGTTCGTTTGTGCGATCACATGACCTGTTTGTCTTAACTTGGTCGAGCCTTAGGATTCTTACCATCGCTTCTGTTTCATGCCATCACATTTCCAGCACTGATAGTGTTTAGTAGGTGAGTGGCAGTGCACGACCCAGTGGACAATGACAGGGACTAGTACCATGCCAACAGGTCTAGATCGTTGAATCCACTCTCACTGGTGGAGAATCATTCCCACCATCCGAGGATCGAAAAGCTTGGTATGCAGTGGTGACCTGATTCATGCCTCCGCGGATATCCTTATCTCGTCATTCTGGCTGTCCCTGGCATCAGCCCTACGCACTATTTCATGGTGTCTGCGTGGTGCTCGATTCGAGACTGCGAGTGTCGCAGAGGGAATTGGGTAGCTGTCACCTAATCTATGTTGACCTAGTTATGTGGGTCGAGCTGCGCCAGAGTATGGAGTACGGAGGAGCTCCGGCAAACACCCGGAAACAAGACAAGCCGTAGTCGAGGACCAGGAACTATTTCTCAACTGAGGAGGAGAGTGGCAATGAGTTTACAACACATTAATTGAGCAACTCTGACTTATCGCTTATCGCTCATATCAGATCACGTTTTGCAGTAAGTTCACGTCCTATTCGGATCCAACTGTACATTTAGTACGGAGTAGATAAGCAGGCTAACGCTCAAAGAACCCATTAATCTTAGTCTACCCCAAACACGGTGCCAACCCCCCCAATCCCCTTCCCTAGTCATACTATCTGCTGCTAATATCTCTTAATCTCCCCAGCAACGGAATCCCCGATCTTCTCCATCCAGCACCGTTCCCCCATCATGACAATTCCCTCTCCCTTCCAAGTCCGACCCGCCGAACCAACCGACGCCGACCTCACCTTCATCGTCTCCACCTACGATGCGACCCTCCCATTCCTCGCCTCAATCGGCAACCACGAACAATGGGGCTCAATCCCATTCTCCCAGCGCGGCGACTTTTCCACCGAAACACTGACCCAGCTCCATCACTCGGAGGAGAACCGCCTCACCGATACCAGCCATTCCAGTGGTCTCCGCATCTTCATCGTCGAGAGAGAATACCACGATGAGCCTCTCGATGCAGAGTCATCCCAGCACCTACGCATTGAAGCCGACGGCCGACGTTACCTGCCAGTGGGATTCGCGCAAACGCGCGAAAACTGGGTCCCTAGCTATGTGAAATCGCAATCGCATCTTCCGATTCCGGATATTGAGCGGGAGGAGTTTGTCTATCTGGAGGTTATCGTTACGGATAGTCGGGTGGGGGGTCTTCGGCGCGGGGCGGGTGCGGCGCTGATGAATGGGATTCGGGAGTATGGGCGCTCTAGAGGGAAGAGAGCGTTTTGGGTGGATAGTTGGGGGGGAAGTGAGAGGAGGTTGGTTCGGTGAGTTTCCATTGCATTTTTGGCTTTTAAGTGTGAGATTTGAGAGGCTAATACTGGCTTTCCAGATACTATGAAAATCAAGGGTTCAAGGCAGTCGGGGACTGGAGTCATGAGAGGATTAACAAGTCGCCTTGGTTGGGGACGTTGATGTATATCGATATTTAGTTGTAACTTGTCTTTTGCGTATTGTATCTTGTTATCTCATAGTTATCATCTAACCTGCGATCTAGTCGATTGTTCGTTGCCAGTAAGAATGAACGAAGCCTTGCTGTATCCTTGATAACTCTAGTACACCTTGCAATGACTGCGTGTCCGCACAACGTCCCATGAGTGATATATATCTCATTCATCCCCCGTGACCATCCCCTGCCTCAACCACGCATCCGCCGGAGTCACAAACCAAGAAACCAGCGCGAAAACCGTCACGATAGCCATAATAGTAATAGGCGCATCTACCATCATCAGCATTCACACATTATCACACCCTCATACCACCGCAAAAAACACCAAAACTCACAATTAAGCGTACCCGCCGTAACCGGAAACACGTACGGCGAAAACAACACCGCCACGACCCAAGTATTCCACACCAACGCAACAACCTGAAACGGTTTACTCCATTTCCCCAACGACCATTTCGCATCGAGCTTTTCATTTCTCGTGAGTGTTAATCTACCCAGACAGATTAAGCCGTACGCTGCGGCGGAGGGAACACCAGCGGCTGAAACGAGCGAGGTGAACGCCACACCGGAAGGGAGAATCGTGCAGGTGATGATGGCAGAGACGATCCAGACGACGAGGACGGCGTTGCGGGGTTGGCCGGTTTCGGAGACGCGGGAGACCCAGGTAGATAGTGGGAGGACGCCGTCGCGGGACACGGCGAAGACGAGTCGTGAGGCGGCGGTGATGGCGATGGCGGTGTTCTGGGGGGATTTAGATGGGGATGTGGTAAGGGGGTGGTAAGGTACTTACTAGCCATAGGGCTACGACTGAGAGGACGTTCATAATGATGTGGCCTCCCCGGCCGAGAACAGCGGCGTAGAGGGGGACGAATGGTTGGGGGGCGTCGTAGGAGAATAGGATGTCGATGGGTGGCTGGTATCATCAGCTTGAATATTCCTGCAGTCGGGGGG